GCCGCTGCAGGCCAAAGCCGCCCAGGTGAGCGAAGACCAAGGCACCGAGTCAGGCGCCACAAATGTCAATGTCAAGATTATCTTTGGAAAAAGAAATGCATTGCGCCCTGCAAGCGAAGGCCCTCGGGTGAGTGCAATGAAAGAACAAGCAGCATTGCAATAAGCAGCATTGGAGCGTGCGCCATTGCACCATGCGACATTGCAGCATGTTTCGTTCCATATATCCCCTTCTTCCCCTCCTCCCCCAACCCCACCCCATCCTGGGCGACACGCTCTACATGCCCAAGGACGGCGACAAGGAGTCCCCGTCGCCCTTCTCCCTGCGTCGTCTTCTCCTCCCAAATCCCCTCACTGGCATATCTCCGTCCCCTCCCTTCTTCTACCCCTCTCCCCAGACCCTCACGTCCATCCTCGGCGACACGCTGTACATGCCCAAGGACGGCGACAAGGAGTTCCCGTCGCCCTCCCCCGACCAGCCTCGCTCACTCGTTCCATATACCCCCTTTCCCGCCCCCACCCCGTTCAGACCCTCACATCTATCCTCGGAGACACGCTGTACATGCCCAAGCACGGCGACAGGGAGTTCCCGTCGCCCTTCTCGCTGCGCGGCAAGATCCTGATCTCCACGCAGCCGCCCAAGGGGCCCAAAGAGCTCTCCACCGTCGTCGCCACAGACGACCCCGCCGAGGAGAAGGTGGACGGCAAGCCGGCCGACGGGGCGGCAGGAGGCGCGGGCGCGGGGGGAGGGGGAGGGGAAGGCGGGGTGGCGGCGGTGGCGAGTGAGGAGCGGCGCGCGAAGGCGAAGGTGCTGGGGCTGGGGGACGCGGAGAAGGTGCGCGCCAAGGCGGAGAAGGCGCGTGAGGCGGCCAGCGCTGCCCTGAAGGAGGGGCGGCTGCATGAAGTGAACGAGGCAGAGCTTATGGAGGTGAGAAGAGTGGGGGGGGATGAAAGGGGATGGTAGGTGGGGGGGGGGAGGGATGAAAGGGGAGGGTAGGTGGGGGGGGAGAGGGATGAAAGGGGAGGGTAGGTGGGGGGGGGGAGAATGAACAGTGGGGGTAGGTTGGGGGGAGGTAGAGGGGTTGGTGGGGGTGGGGAGACAGAGAAGCAGGGCACGGGGGGCGCGGCGCTGAAGGAGGGGCGGCTGCATGGGGTCAACAAGGCGGAGCTCATAAAGGCGAGAGGGGGGAGGGGAGGGGGATGAAAGGGGATGGTAGGCTGGGGCTGGGGATCGTGCCTCCGATCGCCTCTCTCCCTCTCTCTCTATCAAACGGTCCTTCGTATTGATTCAGAGAAACATACAGACATACAGGTATATGGGTGTAGGTTTTCACTGTAACCCTCGAACCCCCCATACCCTTGTGTCAGCATCTACCCCTCCAACGTGTGTAGGACGCCCCCTAGCTGCAGCGGCCAAGGGTCCGCCCGCATTTGCGGGTGGGCTGCCTCAATTCCGGGACGGGCCTTAGTGTGCAGGGCGTGTGCGGGGCAGCGCTGAAGCGCTACCGCCCAGCGTTGGCAGAAGTGGCCGGCCATCTTCTTGACCCACTTGGCCGGGCGGCAAGCTGACGGCTTGGCAGCCGGTGGAGGACGGGCTGAGACTCTCAGAGCGAGAGACAACAGGGAGAACCAGAGACTACTTCACACTCACCCAGCCTTGTCTTCCCTCGTACCACCCCTCTTCTCCACACCGCACCACCTCCTTCTCTCCTTCCTCTGTCTCTTTGCAACAGGAGTCGGGCGCGTGGGAGGAGGAGGACGAGGCGGCAGAGCAGCCAGAGCAGCTAGCCCCGGAGTATCGGCGGCTGATTGCCATTCCGGGCGGCAAACTGACGGCGGGGCAGACGGTGGAGGACGGGCTGAGAGACACCGGCGAGGGGCCGCCCAAGCGCGTGAGCTTCAGCGAATCACAGCTCACCAACACGACCAAGACGTGCCCCAAGGGGCTCGTGAGGTGAGCACAGAATAAACAGGATGTTTATTGGGCAGGTGAGTGGTGGTGAGTGGTAGTGAGTGGCGAGACGCGGTGAGGGGCACCCCAAGCGTGTCAGCTTCAGTGAGTCGCAGCTCACCAACACAGCCAAGTCGTGTCCCGAGGGACTTGTGAGGTGCGGGAGATGGCTGGGGTGAGCTGAGGTGAGTGGGAGTGCATGGGCATGGCAAGCAACATGGCCGCTTGCCCATTCCCCCCTCCACCCAACCCCCATTGTTCGCAAGGACCGGTCTAACCACTTTCCACCCCTCTCACCTCTCTCCCGCCCGTGTCGCCCTTCCTACCCGCTGCACCATTGCCCCCTCTTTCCTGCCCTGCACCTCCCCCCAGCTTTACGCCCCACCTATTATCCTTTCGCCCCGTCTCTTACCCGTTGCCTATGTGCCACCCTGCACCTTTGTCCAGCCCTTTACCGTAGTCTTACTTTCTGCCTCTGTCCTTCCCCCCAGTTTTGGCCCCAACCTATGTTCCCCTCCCTACCTCCCCTCCCCCACATCCCCCCACCGCCCCCACCGGCCCCACCGCCCCCACCTCCCCCACCTCTCCCACCGCCCCCACCTCCCCCACCTCCCCCACCTCCCCCACCTCCCCCACCTCCCCCACCTCCCCCACCTCCCCCACCTCCCCCACCTCCCCCACCTCCCCCACCTCCCCCACCTCCCCCACCTCCCCCACCTCCCCCCAGCTTCACGCAGCGCAACCTGCTCCGCATCTACCCCTTCGGGCTGAGGGTGACGTCATCCAACTATGACCCCATGCCGGCATGGCTGCATGGCGCTCAGATGGTCGCCATGAACATGCAGGTGAGCATGCCTGATGACGTCATGTTGAACTATGAACATGAAGGTGAGCATCCATGATGATGTCATGCATAGTCATTAACATGAAGGTGAGTATGCATGTTGACGTCATGCTGAGAGCCGTGAACATGCAGGTCAGCTTACATTCACTGTCAAGGTCCAGGTTCCCTGATTTGATACCTGTCACTCTCGTGCTTCTCTCATTCAACCAGCCTCATTCCTCAGCCACTCGACCCACAACTCTCTTCCGTCTTCCTTCGAAAATCTCTACCTGATCCTCCCCTCACCCTTACTTCCATGCTCAGGACTACTGCTAGTCTAGATCATGCATCGCTGCCTCCTTGCCAACTGCACGACCTTTCTTCCCCTCACATTCCCTATCTTCCGTCTTGTTTCCACCACCTTGTTCCTCGCTCGCCCATCATAACCAGGGCTACGGCCGGCCTCTGTGGATCGTGCACGGCTTTTTCAGTGCCAATGGCGGGTGCGGCTACCTCAAGAAGCCTGACTTCTACCTCACCCCTGGGAAGCAGCTGGAGGGGATCTCTGAGGGGGATGAGAGCGCTGCAGGCAGCACCGAAGGGGTCTATGACCCTTCTGTTCCTCGACCCATCCAAATGACCCTCCGGGTAATGTGACTATTTTGAAGGGTTTCTGGTCCCGCTGGCATACTGATGGCTGCGGAATGCCTGGCTGCGTCTCCACAAACCCCGTTTTAGATTACCCATTCTCTCTCATTCTTCTCCCGACCGTCCTCCTAACCCGCCCGTCCCTCTCCCCGTCCTTCTCCATACCCCCCTCCTTCCCCCTACACCCCTCCTTCCCCTTTCGCCCCTCCTTCCCCTTACCCCCGCCCTCCTTATCCTATGCTTTCCCCTTATTCCTGTCATTCTCATTATCCTATCCTTTGCCTTACCCCCATCCTTCTCCTTAGCCTCTCCTGCTCCTTACTCTATCCTCTCTTTACCCCCCGCCCTTCTCCTTGCCCCCATCCTTCGCCCTGCCTGCAGGTGCGGGTGGTTGTTGGCACGGGGTGGTTGGAGCGGTATGGCAAGGGTCACTTTGACACCTACTCCAAACCAGACTTCTACTGCAAAGTAAGATGCCGCTTGCCGTTCCTCTTTTTAGTTTCCAGAAAAACCCACACTGCAAGCAAACCTTATCTGCAGGCATGAGTATATTGACATGGCACACTGTGTATGGTCCATGTTCCATGCTCAATGCTCCATGGTGATTTGTGAGTGCTGCCATAGAGATTGCCAATCTCCTAATAAATGCTGTTCTGCTTTACCACCCCACCCATAACCAGGTGAGCATTGAGGGAGCACCATCAGACTCAGCAGAGAAGAAGCTTGATACGTGCAGCGACGACTGGTGCCCCTGCTGGGACGGCACTACCTTGGAGTTCCCCCTCATACTGCCCGAACTCGCGCTGCTCTGCATTGAGGTAATACTTATGAGGAATTTGTTTAAATAGTCTCTCGCAACGTTTTAGTAACTCACTTGCCTATCTCACCTGCCTCACAAATTTTCTGCCTGTCTGCCAAACCTGCAGGTTTTAGAGAAAGACCAGTTTAATGACGAGTTCGCAGGGCAGGCAGTACTGCCAGTGGCATCACTCAAGCCAGGCTTCCGCTGTGTATCGCTGTATGACCGAAAGGGGCATCCTCTTGTGGAGGTTGCTGGAGAGGAGGTTGTGGGGCCACGGTTGCTGTGCCATTTTGAGATGGTGTCGTCCAATGAAGCAAACGAATCAAATGAGGACAAGGAGAAAGCGTTTGAAGAACTTCGGAAGGGGGCTCAAAGAAGTGCAGGCGGTAGTTACGAGGTTTGATGGGAACTTTGGTCAGGTTAGGCTGTAAGTAGGTAGTGAGGGGCCTTATGCATTCACTTGAGTTGATGCCTTTAGTCTTGCACAATCTGATGTATGAAGTGCGGGTAGGTTAGCAGGTAGTCCTCCCAGCCTAAGCTGTCTGTCACATTGCGTTTCTTGAGTTGGGTGGATATCATTACTGTTGCAAATCTCAGATTGAATTTAGCACTTGTTGCAGACATCCCACTATAACTCTGCATAAAGGCAGACCCTTTGGTTTGCATGATACTATGCATTCCGGCATCCCAACACAGAAATATGCGGTAGCAAATGCTGGCTACTGCTCGGTTCGGTATAAGACTGAATTTCATCAGCACATCTAGGCACCAATGAGTCATCAGTCTTCTTCATCTGCTTCTTCCAACCATTTGATGAAAGGCTCAAGTGCCTTAACAAACAGCTGCCTGCAAAGCAAGAATTGACTTTAAGTTAGACTCCACCCTCATAGCAAGCTCAAATATCAAGCCTAACAGCGCAGCCCATGGTACATACCTTCCTTTTGGATTGGAACCCTTGCGGAACCAAAGCATGATGGTGTCCTCTGCGAGGACATCACAATCGTAGAGGGTTCTGACGAACTCGGGAAAGAGGCGCTGGATCTTAGCATCCTCATAACACTGCAACTGAATGTGGTAAAGCAGCTCTAGCTCCATTTTGGCAGACGAGCACACTGCCTCCAATAGCTTTGCCCAGGATTTGAGCTGCCAAGAAGACCGAATAAAGACCATGAGATGAGACCATGTCAAGACTTTACCAAAACCAACTCCTTGCATGGATAAGCAGGTTCCATACATACCTGTCGCAAGGCTGTATTAGAATTCTGTTGCACATTTTTGCCTGACCACTGCACAGCGCCCATAACTGCATCCCAAACTGTGCGAACAACATCACCATCCGCCAGGCCGCCCTCCTTCTTTTTCTGCTTGACCATGTCGATCACATCACCCACATCTGTATGCTCTTCCTCAATCATGTCAGCGAGGCCTGTGTGCAGCTCCTTCAGCTTCACATCAAACACCACCTTCTTCTGGTAGTCCGCCAACGCCTTCAGGCCCTCGTTGCTGCAGCAGCAGTAGAAAACGGTGGGTTCAATTTCACAAGCAGCAACCATAACACATGGAGCAAGACGACTATATACGTTCTTCCATTCAATATCAGCTTCTTGGCATGTGCTTTCAGAAAGTTTTGGCGCCCTATTCTTCGTAACTTCAAGTTGATAGTCGTACCTGAAGTGTTGTGAAAATGCGTCTGGAGTCCGCTTCTGAGAGGGCATGAACTCGATCAGCCGCTGATCGACTTTCCCTTTCTTGAGCAGACCCACAAGGTCATCCATGTTGGTCTCCACCAGATAGACATGGAAGAAGTCCGTAATGAAGCCGAGCGAGGTGCCTTTAGTAACAAGCGTGTCATTAAGGAGGGCTATGAAAATGACATCAGGTGCCAGGCCAGTAAACCGCTGTGAGAAGCAGAGGGCTGTCAACACAGCAAGGCGCTTCCTCTCTTCAGGCTCATACATTTCCTGCACCCAACAGCAGAAAGACGATCAGGCTCTACTACATCACCGAATCAAACAAGCACCAGCTTGCGAAGAGGCTCGCACCAGAGACTGCACCCAGCGGCGCAGCACGTTCTCCAAGGACTTGATCATGAACGGACGGCGTCGCAGAATCTTCTGGATGAAAAGGACATGTTTGAGAACCCCCTCCCTTGTGGGTGGAGAACTGAGCACATTCCACGGCTGCCGCTCTGCCCCCTCCTCTGGCTTGGTTGTGCCAGGCTGCATACGACCGCCGCTAAGGACCACCTGCGGAGAAGATAAAAGAAAAACATTATGACTAAGAATGCGACCCAGGTAACTTTCGACTGCGTAGACGGGATGCAGGGGTTTAAGAGGTAATACCTCGAAGAATGTCTCCCCATATCGAGAAAAATCGAGTTCGGAAGAGTCGATATCCTTCGCTATAAGCTCCTGCAACACATAAAGAAATAATGTCAGCTCCGAGACCCTCGTTCCGATCAGCTGAGATGACACAGCTCTGCAGCTCACCAAATCCCCCTGGTGATCCGTGTAGATGTGGACGATCGCATCTGCAAAGCTGGTCGGATCTAAAGGAACCGCAATATTCCTTTTGCGGGTCTTGATCCGCGTGCCACTGGAAAGCGAAATCACCGAATTAGCTCAAACCACTGCAAAGAGAAATGAGAAAAACAAGACACCATCGCACTTACCCGAGAGTGGGCTTCTCCTTGGAGCTGGAAAGACACAAATGTGACAGAAATAGACAAAAACATTTTCCATCAGGGCTGTATGCGGAGCAGCGGACGGGACAACAACTGAGGCCAAACGCGAAAAATCTACGAACCTCATAAACCTGCCGGGGAAAACAAGGAAAATAGGCCGAATTCTATTGCAAGCCAATAACTGGCTTGTTTAGGTGGTTCTAGGAGATGGTTGTGTGAAGCAGGAAGATCTTGAAAGCGGCGTGGATGACACACCAACAGCAACAAAATGCGGTGACAGCACGCACTTGGATCAGTTGGGTTGGACAGGACGGATGTGGATAGGCGTTTTGCAATGACCAGTGGACAAATCCCCGCTTTCAGAAGGAACCGTTTGAAAGTGCATCAAGAAAGTGTGGTTGCTTTGAAGAAAACAAGGAGACTGTATGAAGCATTTTTATAGAACAAAACTTCCTACAATGCCTTATAATCTTGATACACCTACAGCCACGTATGTAAATAGATGCTACAACCATTTGCCCCTAAGAAGCACCCTTTCTCGCCCTTCCCCCGCTTCCTCGGCCTTTTCCACCCTTCGTGGGCCCCTTGCTTGAGTTGCCTGCAGATTTTCCTACAAGTCGCAAACGGACCGCTGCAAAACACACACCACACAAACGACTATTTGAGCTGGAACATGGAGTTAAAAAATATATCACATGACCTGATTGCACGGTTGCAAGTACCTTCATCGTCTTCATCATGCTCACTGCTTGCATCCTCCGCTGCATCATCGTCTTCTTGCAGTGTTCCAACTGTCAAACGTGAATGGGGCATTATCAATACCAGAACAGACGTTTTAATCAGAACACCCATCTAGCCTGAATGGCAAGGAATCCTCTGTGCTTAACGACTGACCATGCAACCAGCGAACAGAAAATAGCTGTTAGGGGCAGCTCACCTTCATCAACAGCCACAGGAAGATCAGTGTCAGCCTGCAAAAGAGAAGCCTCATCCACACCTCCTCCACCCGGCGGCTTAGCCACCTTGCTTCGACCACCTGCCTTCCCACGCCCCCCTGGCAGCTGGAGAGGCGGCAGGGTGGCAGCACACTTGGCCTTGTGTGCCTGCTGCTCCTTCTTGAATTCCCGTGTCAGCCGAGCCTTCACTGGCGCTGGCACACCCTCCATAGGACCAGATCGACCCTGGATGCACAAAAGAATGGAACATTTACTGAAACATGCCGAAAATGGATCGGGACAAGGGGAGTGCAGGGTAAGGGGGGTACGGCGTTTAAAAGGAAACAGTTTGGCGTTTGCAAAATGCTGGAATGAAACCACTTGCCTTGAAGTGTGAGAGCTCCACGGCAGTGTCAAGGTCGTCAAGTGTGAGGCCATACTCCAGCATCTCCTCTACCACAGTGTCCACCCCATCCTGCAGTGCACATGCGTGTAATGTAATGACAGCGAGGAAAGGAAAAGGGATGGGGGTGGGAGGGGTGAGGGGTGAATCATAGGGGGGCGTGGAAGGGGGCTGAAGGATGCTTTGCAGTTGAGGGTCAAATCGAGAAGCACACCTGTGCGTGTTTGTGCAGAGGCTGTGTAAGGGAGGAGACAAGGGGCTCCAAGTAGTCAAGGCGAACCACTTGCCTGCATCACAGGGAAAGAGAAGGTACATGTCAGATAACAACCTTGCAGGACAGCAAACGAGGAATAGAGTAGGACAGGGAGGATGGGCCAGGAAAGGATGCCCAGATGATATGGTGGGAGGGAGGGGAAGGGGGTGAGGGGGGCAAGAATACCTTGATGGGTTGGGGAGCAGATGGGAGGAGAGGAGGTGCTGGTGCAGGTCATCCAGCAAGCGGTAGTTCTTGCCCATGGAAGAGTTCTTCCCCAGCCAGCCTGGGAAGCGATTGAAGTTCCGCTCGCCCTGTAAATAGAATGCTCAGCAGACAGTGAGGTCAACATTGCAAGCAGGATTGCATGAAAAGGTTCCCGGAGCAATTTCAAAGGGAAAAATGATGGGACATAGTTGGCTGACCTCTAGAAGAGTGACCCTTCGCCCAGAGACCATCAAGCCCCTGCTCAGATCACACCACACCACACCAACATGGTTAAAGATTTGAGGCCAAATGGAAACAGCGGAGAAATGCCAAGTATGGGGTAATGGTATGTGGTATGCAGTGAGATGGTGTCAGCATGACACGGGGGAGCTCACGGTGTGATGCAGGACATGACAGCAGCGAACTGCAGGTGCTGCCACTGCTGGTATCTGCGCACTTGCACGTTCACCAGGTCCCCGCTGGAGATGGCATCGGCCGCTTGGGAGAGACGAGCAAGCAGGTGAGGAGACGAGGGGTCGTTGCCAGGCACGTGGTTCAGGTAATTCTCCTGCAAAGGGTGACATCGTAGGCAGGGTGCGTCAGGTAGGTGTCAGGTCAACACATCCCTTTGAATACGCAAACAAAACACTGGAGAGGCTGGGAATGGTGCAGGGCTGGCCACATGAATCACAATAGAGGCCTGAGTGTAATGCATTCAAAGAGCAGTTTATGTGTCACACGGTGGGGCGAGCTCACAGGCTCATACTGATGGTGTGTGATGGTGAAAGTGGGAGGCGGTGGCACCTGGATGAAGAGCGGCATGAGGTCGATGTCTGACATGGCTGCATCAACGAGAATGTCCAACCTCTTGCCACGCGCTCCATACCCCATCAGCCTGCAGCAACCAGAAAGGGGTAAAAGGGGTAGCCAATGCATAAGTGCACTGGAACAACAGCAACCATGCAGTGCCTATGGAACTTGAATGCCCCATCACAAGGTGCAGAAATGGACGGCTTGGGTTGAAATCTCGCCAGTCATCCCCCGCTGCCCCCATACAGCATATTGACTACTCCCCCTCACCCCCCTCCCCTCCCCTCCCCTCCCCTCCCCCCCACTGCACGCACGTGTCGGCAGCGGCCATGGGGCGGATGTCCTCGTCCTTGGCGTTGGCCTGCATGCGCTGCTTCACCTCCTGGTACGACAGCTGCCGGCAGCTCAGCGCCATGTACTGCAGCTGGTTCAGCGCCAGCCGCATGTCCCCCCCCGTGCGCTCTGCTAGCTCCTCCAGGGCATTCTGAGGGCAGAGGAACATGTCAGCTGAGGAATCTGAGAGACGTTTGAATGCGGTTGGATGCGCATGCACTAAGATGAATTACATGGGTTGTTGCAAGAGTGACCGGTGCTTGGAAGGAAATACAAAGAAAGTGCGTCGATGCAAAGAAAAAGGTATGTGGAGTGGGTCAAGCTTGGCTTGGAGCACTCACATCGGCGATTTGGATCTTCTCAGCGTTCGCCACCTGCCGCAATCTCTTGGCCATCTGCAGCGGAAGTAACTCAGTGAGTTAGGCGACACGAAATGGCACAACCAGTGGACTTGCAGTGCAAGTGCAAAAAGGTCAAACAGGCTGCAGCGCTGACCTGTTGTCTGGTGGGCTTCCTGTAGTTGAGGAGCAGGCAGTGATTGACGAGGCTCTTGAGCTTCTGACTGTAGCGGTCATTGCAGATGCAGATGATGGGCACACGACTCTCCTTGATGCTCGCTATCAGGTGCGCCACGCCCCCCCTGTCGCCCCCTGACATGCCGTCCACCTCATCCATGATCAGCGCAGCTCGATCCACTTGCTGCTGCTGCTGTTGCTTGCCCCTGCAGCAGCCCACATGACACACCACTTAGTCCAGCAAAGCACTGTATGGTTGTCATAGTAACGAGACTTCGTGCTTGTGTGCAGGCAGGCGCATGTGCTGAATGGTCAAACATGCACGATGGGAAGGTGAGGGGATTCCAAGGGCTGAGGAGTGATACTTGGTGGTGGTGGGGACGGGGGAGAAGCGGAGGGTGGTGTTGGAGATCATCTCCTTGATGGTGTTGGACGTGGCGCCACCCATGCCGTTGCGGATTTTGGAGTCCGACTTCCCTCGAGAGTCACTGGCGTTCACCTGGTGGGAGAGCGGAGGGTGGTGGAGCAATGGTGATGCCATGACACACACCAAGGTGCACACCAAGCGAGTTACGCAAGCCGATGCTCAGAACACCAGCCAGCTACTGTGATGTGAAGGCACTGTCCGATATAAGCTACTTGACATGCAAGTCACTTGGTCAACAATGAGGCGCAGCACAGCAAGCTTCAACAGGGCTCACCTCGAGAGGCGAGAAGCCAAGAGCAGCACAGACAAGGCGAGCTGTAGTGGTCTTGCCAATGCCCGGCCCTCCACTGAGCAGCACTGCCTTCTTGTTCATGTCCCCCCCTGCCGCCCCTCCTCCACCTGCCCCGCCCTTCCCACCCTTCTTGCCCTTCTTGGCCCCTCCTTGTCCCAGATGCCTCGCCTCCCAGCCTGCCAGCCAGTCATGCAGCTGCTTCACCTGCAGGGGTGGCATGACATGGCAGGAGAGGAAGGAGCCCATTCGGAAGGTGTAAGGCAGCAGCAGAGGGAACAAATGAATCTTGACAGGTGACACCAGTGTGTAACAGCAACACGCACCAGGCCTTGGTTAGCGATGATATCTGCTGTGCTCTTGGGAGCGTACTTCTGCGGCCATGACTCCACCTCCACTGGTCCCGATCCCGCTGCAGCTGTAGGGGCCACCACTGGCCTCGCTGCAGCAGCGTTCGTCTGGCTCGCTAGGCCTCCTGCACCAGCCGATGGATCTGCCTTGAGCTTCTTTGGGAGTCGATCAGTGTCAGGCTTGTGATCGTCAGCAGGTCGTCCCTTATCTGCAGGGAATTGTGAAGCAAAGAAAGTGTTTGAGCTTCCCTGCTTAGCCTACGCATCCGTACATAAGAAAAGGCTACAACCGACGAGACAACAGCACCTGCAACCAGCGGCTGTTTAGCCGGGGGTGATTTCGCTGGTGCAGATTGCTGCTTCTTTGCCGCAGCACGGATAAGGTCAAAGAGGCCATCCTCTGTGAGGAACTTCACCCTGCAGCAGCAGCAGCAGCAGCAGCAGCAGCAGCAGCAGCAGTGCACATCGGAGTCATGAGAACCGCAGATCAGATGGAAGACAGAAAGCGGCTGTGAATGGTGGACCGCCTTACCCAAGCTCTTTAGCCTTGGTAGACTTTCTGCCTCCAATGTCTTCATCAGCGAGGAGGTAGGTCTGCATCCAAACACGAAGGAAACAAAAGGAATCAGTCTGCAGGTTCAGGTTTCTGACATTCCCTTTTGATGACACACGATTGTGTCAAGGTTACTCCACATTGTAACAGTAACACCTGACCTGAACATAGCCATTCCAGTACTTGGATACTGAAGGCATGGTCCATGGCTTTACCACCACGGGTTGCTGACTAGAGCAGGCACGCATTCCCCAACATGTCACTGCAGTCTCAACAGCATTCTCCCTGAAGGAGCTTGATGGCGCGTTGATTCCAGTGTTATGAGTTGGCAGCATAACATTGGCGGAATTGCAGCAAAGAGGAGTCTGCTGAAACAGCTGTTCAATTCAAACTTCCAGCCAGTCTTGAGCTTCCAGAATAGCAACTACGGAAGGCATACCCACCGTTTTTCCACTGACAGAGCCGGTGATCCGACCACCATGCCTCTTGATCAAGTCCTCTGCATCCTCCCTCTCCAAGCTGCATGTCAGGCATTGTTAGCGTGAGAAAGTTGTGAAGGAACACTTGCTGCAAATGCAACAGTTACGAAGGTAACTGACCTGTCAAGAGTGCCACTGATAACAAAAGTGATCCCCGTCAAAGCATTTTCGGGACCTTCAGGTACTTCCTGCAAAAGCAGCAACAAGTCAGCCCCTATCTTGTAAAAAACGACGAGCATTGACTCACTAAGTGCAGCATACCTTCTCTCCTTTGTGTGGGGGAGCGGATCTTTCCCCGAAAAAGCCACCTCTGCCTCCCCAGCCTCTTCCTCGGCCTCCACCCCCACCTCGACCCCCTCCAGCATCACCACCGCCTCTACCCCCACCACCTCCTCTTCCTCGACCTCCAGTATCTTTCGCCTCAGCAGCAGATGCAGGCTGAGGCTTCGACGGCGTAGCCTTCTTCGTGGTAGGTCCGGCCTTACCCCGCTTCCTCTTTCCAGCCGGTTTTTCCTCTTCTTCTTCTTCCTCCTCGTCTGCTTCGTCCTCATCCTCCTCATCAGCATCATGACTGCCTGAATCCTTACCAACAACGAAATCCGCATCATCTTCATTGTCGTCTTCCTCATCATCTTCGTCATCATCTACGATCATGGACCTTTTCCTTGGCTTCTTAGAAGGCGTTGAAGAGGCTTTGACGGCCTTAACTCCTCGTTTAGGCTCATCCTTAGCAGCTGATGCCTTCTGTAATGCGCTTGCTCGTTCCGGCTTCTTGAGAGGCTCGCTCGTTTTCGTGGGAGTTGGAGCATGAGATCCTTTACGCAGGATAGAGCTTGACGGAGACTTCAAGGGAGAAGCCGAAGTTGCAGATACGACATCCGTTTCCTAAACATGATGACGAAAAGAAGATTAGCTACGTGCGTAACAAAAGCCACGGAAAAACTGATGATTAAAGCTTTACCTTCTTCTTCTCAGCCTCAGATACTGGAGTTGAGGTTTTTTTTCCGAACCAGCGACGAATGTCCCCTTTCTGCATTCTTGCTCGGTGTGAGTACGGTAAGACGACAACCTACTGCTGCTTTCCTTACGCGGCGCTGTTGAAATGTTCAGATGCCTTGGTGCTACTCTCACATTATTCTCCTGACGTTCAGTCCTTTGTTGGAGGTGGACAAGGCCTGAAATGGCTGGAATGCCTGGTTGAGGAACTGAGTAAGTATCGGAAAGAGGCATTTGGGGTGAACCTTACGCCATCCGCGTTACGGGAATGCCCTACGCAATACCAGAAGCACTTTGTATCAAATTTGTTCGTGTCTAGACGACATTTTCAAAGCAGCTATAAGACTGCTTCAGTGAAATCTGACTAAATAACAAAATTCTCACTACAATTTCTTAACATGAAATTTTATCCAGTAAATTCCTTGCATCTCGTAATGCTTTTATTATTGAGAGCCTTTTTGTGCTCCATAACAGTGTAGGGCAAGTTGATGACTCACTCCGGTTTGGAATTTCCTGTCAAATATTTCTGTGGGATCAAAGTGTACCAGATCCAAGTGACCCCTGATACCGGAGGGGTCATTGTCCAGCATGGTGTTTGTTCTGTATCGAGTCTCCTTGTGAACGTCTTGGATGACTGCATGCGGCGAATCCACGCAAGCACAGTACGTATTTGGACAAGTCATTCGCATTCAAACAATCTCCACATTCCTATTGGCGCTTTGCATTCCCATATTGACGGCTAACCGCCCAACTGCTGAACCGACACACCCGAAAACTTCAATTCAGCCAAGAACTGGAAACAAGGGGGAGCCCTTGAGAGTTCCAAGCGACGAGTCGCGTGTGCCTCCCTACGCATCGCGCATTTGATCCACATAGAAATTGGGGCGACCAGTCTGCAATTGCAACATCCTCGCCAATCTGTCTCACCCAACAGCCCCACTGTCATTGCTCCCCACTGCATGCATCGAGTTTGAGAGCAAGTCGTCACGTCACAACTCACCTCACTCGCTGCTACGACCTACACGCATATCGACCCACCTTGTTCAAGCGTGTTTGTGAAGGCTCCACTTCGGAGATACCCAGGTGTACGCACGCGTCAGCATTTCTGGACGTCGTCCAGGGACTCCCAGTGACGGCTCGTGGATAAATCGTGGTGGAAATCACAGCCATGAGTCCGGAATTGGCAGTCGAGAAAGAGAACACGGCGAGTCTCATGGACGATCAAGTTCTTGCGATGAGCGGTGAGGACAATCTGTCGGTTCCAAAGCTCAATTCGTGCTCTGCGAGCGGAGGGGGCTCCTGCGTCGTAGAGAATGCCAAGAATCCGACATCGGTTCTTGGATTGCCTCCTGCGACCACTTGCGTCGCACACGATGCGTGCGACAGCAATTTCGCGGAGCAGAGCGCGCTTCTTGCGGCGGGAGGCAAGCGAAAGCTCGCCGAATCCGGCGCCGCGTGGGCTAGAGCCACCGGAAACACCGCAGGGGACTACACCGACGGATCCTGGGACCCGGTAACCTCCCTCGCGAGCATCCGACACGAGTTCGGCGAGCATGGCGGCGTGAACATGTCGATCGAGAACAGCGCGACGTTCACGGTCATGGAGCCGGAGAGCATGGCGAAGATCTTCACGGGGCAACTGGGCCCGGATAACGACTTCTTCGTGTACAGCCGGCACTTCAACCCCACGGTCATGGCGCTGGGCCGGCAGCTCGCGGCGCTGGAGGGCACGGAGTCGGCATATTGCACGGCTAGCGGCATGGCCGCGATTTCCGCCGCCGTGCTGCAGCTGTGCAAGCACGGCGACCGCATCGTCGCGTCCAACAGGTATTAATTTCTCGTTATTGAGAATCCGCAGCCTCCCTTTGATGTTGTCATACACTTCGTCGTTGCGCTGCTTTTCACTTCTCTTTTTTTCACATCGCCTATGTTTGGGTCTGTTATTCGTCAGGCTGTACGGCGGCACGTTCGCGTTCCTGGACTGCTTCCTCCCGCGCATGGCGGGCATCCGCACCACCTTCGTCGACATCACCGACCTCGCGGCTGTCGAGGCCGCTCTTAGCGGGGGCGACGTGGGGCCAACATGCGAGCTCGTCGGCAGCACAGCACCAGGCGCAGCCGCCGCCGTGCGTCCCATCGCGCAGGAGGCTACTGATGATCTGAACGCCACCGGCGTATGCACCACCCCACTGCCGCCAGGAGCGGACTCGCTGAATAATTCTGCCAGGGATGGCGCAGCTGTTCCGGCAGGTCCGAAGCGCGCGGGGCCGGCGCGAGTGCTGTTCTTCGAGACGATTTCGAACCCCACGCTGGTGGTGGCGGACGTGCCGGCGCTGGCGGCGGCGGCGCACAGGCACGGCGCGGCGGTGGTGGTGGACAACACGTTCGCGCCCGTGCTCGTGTCGCCCGCCAAGCACGGCGCGGATGTGGTGGTGCACAGCCTGAGCAAGTTCATCAGCGGTAAGGGGGGGAAGAGATGGCTTGCTTCGTCGATCGTTCTGCCGACATACAACACTCTTGTGTTGCCTTTTGCTGGGAGACGATGATCATGCCAGGCATCCTTTCTTCTGCTGCTCTTGCACCACGTGATTCTGTGTGTGATCTCTCTTACCCTGGTATACCCCATTGTACCCAATGATGACCCCACCCCACTCATCAGGAGCGTCGGACGTGATAGCTGGGTGCGTGTGCGGCTCGGCTGCCTTCATCGCATCGCTCATGAGCCTCACCTCGGGCTCGCTCATGCTGCTGGTGGGTCTCTCAGTGCACACACGCGCACGTGCACACACACACATATACGGCGCACACGCGCACGTGGTTCTCTTTGCCTTTATCGCATCGCTCATGAGCCTCACCTCCGGCTCGCTCATGCTGACGGTGGGTTCCTCACCACACACACGCACAGCACACACAGGCGCATGTACGGGCGCACTTGCACCCACTTGCTGCTTCAACACCCCACAGCTATCACGCAACTCTCACAGCCCTGTCATGTTATGCCAATTCTCGATCCACTCTGTACTGCCCAACCCTTCCCTCTCTTTGCTGCCCGATCCTTCTCCCCCTCCCTCTTCTCTCCCCCCCCCCCCCTCGCTTCCCGCAGGGCGCCACCATGAATCCGCAAGTCGCATTCAACCTCTCGGCCCGCCTGCCCCACCTACCTCTGCGCATGCGAGAGCACGGCAGGCGAGCGCTGCTCTTCGCCTCGAGCCTGCACGCGCTGGACCTGCCTGTGTGCTACCCCGGGCTGCCCTCGCACCCCCAGGCACACGTCCTCGCACGTATCTCCAACGGTTCCCGCCTCCACCTGCTCCCCTCTTCTGCTAAGGCTGCACCTGCTGTTGGCGGTGGTACTGCTGCTGCTGTCGGCAGTGGTGTGGGAGTGGGAGGGGAGAGTGGTGGGGCAGAGTGGGTGGGCCCGTATGCGGGGGGTGGTATGCTGAGTCTGGACCTAGGGAGTACCGCCATGGCATACGACTTCATGAGGCACCTGCAGAACAACGCCGAGTTTGGATACATGGCTGTGTCCCTCGGGTTCCATGACTCCCTTGTGTCCTGCAGTGGCGCCAGCACCAGCAGTGAGATGCGCGCAGAGCAGCGGCAGGCCGTGGGGATTTCTCCCGGGCTCGTGCGCATGTCGGTGGGGTATACGGGCAGTGAGGAGCAGCGGTGGACACAGCTGCTGCAGGCTGCTGCTGCTGTGGGACTTGTTGAGGGGGAGGGAGGGGGGAAGAAGAGGAAAAGTATGTTGGTGGGGGAGGCAGAAGGAGAGGATGTGGTGGGTGGAGAGGGAGTGGTGGTGTGAGGGTGGAGTGGAGGATGATGAGGGTTAGTAGAAGCATACTGTGATTATTGTTTATATTAAACGGTGTGACATGTACATAGGGTTTTGCTTACTGTAAATACTGTGTGTTTGGTAGTGGGCATGCACTATTGTATTTCACTCAATGAAAAGATATGAACCTACAACCATGCGACCTGGGCAAAAGGGAAAGAGCTCACATGCAGCATTGCTTGCTGCATCAGCATACTGCTCACCGCACACTGCAACAGCATTCTCCCTCTGCATGTATTACCGAACCAGTTGCATGACATTGCATAGCATTGTATGACATGGCAGCATAAGCAGGCCAAGCACCCGATGCACATGTACAAGAAACTTCTACTCGCACAGCCATTTCTTTAGGCACTGTACAAAACCCGTAGTAGTAAACAAGAAGCTTATCGCCAAAGCTGGTGATAGGAACATATCACCAAAGCTTATCGCCGAGGAGGCACTGTTAGAGAGGTGAGCAGCTGAAAGGTATGGTCTGTGTGGATGCCTACCTAGGCAGCATAAGCAGAGAACATGCGTGGCTGTGCAGGTTAGCACAAGTGCATGATATGTGCTGTTGTGCGAGTCAGCAAAGCAGAGGATATGTGTGGGTCAGCGGAAACGGATGCAATGTGTGGGCCGGATGTGCCATGAGATGGTGGCAGCAGAGGGTGGCCCTTTGAGATGAGTGAGAACCTCTAGGGCAAGGCAAGGCTAGACTGCATCTGCGTTGAGAGGTGATGGTGCAGGGAGGGATGCATGCGTGGTGGCATGTGTGGTGGCACGCGCAATGCCCATTGCTGCGCTGCATGTCTGCATGTGAGCATGTGAGCATGTCACCATGCATCCATGAGGGCATTGACTGCCAGCAACACGTTTGGCCTTCTCAACAATTCCTGCACACACATGTACAAACGTAAACACGCGCACATGCACACACGCGCACATGCACATATGCACACATGCGCACATGCACATATGCATACACGCGCACATGCACATATGCATACATGCGCACATGCACATATGCATATATGCGCAGATGCACATATGCATACATGTGCAGATGCACATATGCATACATACACACATGCATGCACACATCCACATGTGTTGACGAACATCAAGCAATGAAGGACGGGAGCAAGGAGCGGGAAGGATGTAGCAAGAAAAGATGAGCGGGAAGGATGTAGCAAGAAAAGTTGAGCGGGAAGGATGTAGCACGAAAAGATGAGCGGGAAGGATGTAGCAAGAAAAGATGAGCGGGAAGGATGTAGCGAGACGGCTGTGAATGCCGGAACTGCATAATCCAGGCAACCATGTATGCCCCTTGCTATTCTTCATTGCACGCATGATGTGATGGGTGATGGGCGCATACCTGTTGCATGGCATGCATGGCCACATACCTGTCGGATGGCATGTGAGGGTACATGCGGCAGAACCTCCTCCACCTGAGCCACCATCGCTGCCATTCTCTCCTCATCCACCCCCATCCGCATCCCCATCCCCTACCCTCCCCCTCCCCCCCGTGCGCCTTCCCCTCCCCCTCCCCACAGGCCCCACCCTCTCCGCCTGCCCCTCACCTCCTCTCCCCCTCCTCCTCCCGCCACTCCCCCCCTTCCTTCTTCCCTCCCTCCTGCCGCTGCCCCTACTATTGGTTGCACAGGCGCCCCCCCTTCCCCTCCTGCTCCCCCTCCCCCTATCCCCCGGTCCGCCCCGCTCCCTGCCCCCTCTTCCCCCACATGTCTTGCCCTCCCGCTCCCCCCTCCTCTGAACCGTATTCCCCTTAGCGAAATGGAAGAGGAGAAAAACCGGCCTCCCCCAATCCCCCTCTCCCCCCCTTCCTGCCGCTCCCCTCCCCCCATCCCCCCACCGCCCCCCTCCCCACGCTGCCCCTCTCCCCCCTGATCCCTCCCATGCCCCACCCTTGCTCCCCCCCCCTGACCTGCATCCCCACCCCACACCGGATCCACTCCCCTCCCCACATCCCCCCCTCCCCCTTGCCCCCACCCACCCCCCCAATCACCCTCCTGAGCAGGCTGATTCGCAGCAACCCCAGCAGCAGCAGCAGCAGGGGGGGGCTGGGGCGGAGGGGAGAGAGACGAGAGCACGTTGGGGGGAAGGCTATCAAGCGGGCGGCGGCAGGTGGGGCAGGAGTAGGGCGCTTGTGACCCATGCTCTAACCAACTCCGCAGGCAGGACAAGTGAAACAGGTGCCCGCAGGGGAGGCGCTTGGCCGATGATAATGGTTCACGGCAAATGGCACAGTCGTCCGCAAAAGCGGTGATTTGGGCTGGAGTGGCGTCGGGGAAGGTAGAGCGGAGGAGGCGGAGGGCGGCGTGCCAACGAAGGAAGCCGGCCACACGCTTGGAGAGGGCGGCGAGGAGTGTCCGTATGTTGAAGACGAGCACGAGGTCGATGACTGAGAAGGAGAAGCCGCGGATGAGCAGCACGAGTGCGCAGTGTGCGAGGGTGAGGAGCGTGGAGGAGGCGTCTGCTGTGAAGGATACGTTGAAGAGCAGCCAGGAGCGCAGCTCCGCCCACTCACAGGAGGCCAGCAGGGCTGTGGGGGAGGGGTGGAGGCGAGGGGAGAGAGACAAGAGGAACAAAGAGCAGAGACAAGGGAGGAAAAGAGAGGGTACATTTGAGTGGGCTGAGGCGGCTGTTGCAGTGCGTGAGGGTGAGGAGCGTGGAGGAGGCGTCTGCGGTGAATGAGACGTTGAAGAGCAGCCAGGAGCGCAGCTCCGCCCACTCACAGGAGGCCAGCAGGGCTGTTGGGGGAGTGGGGGGGAGAGGGAGGGAGGCAGGGGGAGGAAGACAAGAGGAAGGAAGAGACAAGAGAAGAGAAAAGAGCAGAGAAAAGAGAGGAGAAGAGAGGGTAGATTTGAGTGCCTGAGGTGGGTGTTGCAGAGTGCGAGGGCGAGGAGCGTGGACTAGGTGTCTGCGGTGGCGGTGAATGCCACGTTGAAGAGCAGCCAGGAGCGCAGCTCCGCCCACTCACAGGATGCCAGGAGGGCTGTGAGGGAGGGGGGATTGGGGGGGTGAGAGGGGGGAGAATGGAGAGAGGAGAAAATCAGTGAATATGACATAATTTGAGAAGCATTCACGCTGTTAGAAGTGCCGCTCCCATCCAGCATGGTTGGTGGAGAGGGGAGGGTGAGGCCAAGCAGAGGGAGATAAAACAGCGGCGAGTATAGTGAAAGGAGCAAAAACAGCAACCGAGACAGGCTCGATAGCCTGAAACAACCTGCTTCCACGCAGCCTCCAGCCACCTCGGCTCCTTGATAGTGAGCGGCCCAAGTCCTATCACCCACCCACCACGCCATCTGGTCACAGCCCACCACTCCTTCTGGTCACCCCGGCAGGCCTTACAGGTGAGCGGCAGGGCGGGCGGCAGGTGCGCAGAGATGAGGTCTGAATGAGCCTCGAGCAGATGCACGCAGTAGTGCAGCAACGTCTGGTGATGAGGAGTGAGAGGTTTGTGGGGAAATGAGGAGGGATGGGGTGGAGGAGTTGGGGGAACGGATGGGGAGAGGGAATGGGGGAACATGAGGGCGGAGAGAAGTCGAATGGGCGTCGATCAGGTGCACGCAGTAACGCAGCACCGCCTGGGGAGAGGGGGAATGGGGGAGGGGAGATGGGGAGGAGAATGGGCGGCAGGGAAGGAATGGGGAGCCTGGCGGCATGGGGGCATGGCATGGGTGGGTGGGGCATGGGTGGGTGGGGCATGGGTGGGTGGGGCATGGGTGGGTGGGGCATGGGTGGGTCGGCATGGGTGGGTGGGGCATGGGTGGGTGGGGCATGGGTGGGTGGGGCATGGTCGGGTGGGGCATGGGCATGGGCGGGTGGGGCATGGAGGCATGGGGTATGGAGGTTTGTGTGGATGGGGTGATGGGCGCATGGGAGCATGGTTGCATTCACCTGCGTGGTGTCGATGGCGATGACGAGCGGCTCATAGGCGAAGAGCAGCCCCACGGAGAGGGCATGGAGGGATGGGCGGATGGGGTGCATGGGGGCAGGCATGGAGGGGAAGAGTGCACTCCCTCCTGATTGGTACGTAGGAGCCTGGTGTTGCACTGACCTGCGTGGTGTCGATGGCGATCACGAGGGGCTCATAGGCGAAGAGCAGCCCCACGGAGAGGCGCGGCCAGGGCGACATGACATTGCGCGAGGCGGATGGGGAGGAGGCGGGGGACGCCGGGGCGAAGAAAGGCAGCAGACACACGGCACTGGCGGGCGGAGGGAGGGAGAGGGGGAGGAGAGGTGAGTGGGAATAAGGAAGAAAGCGACTGGAGGGCACATGCACGGCGCGCATATACAAGCAGGTAAACCCCGTGGAGCAGCATGCATATACTACAGCAGCAAAGAGCCAGGCGAGGAGAGGAGAGGAGAAGGCACAGGGCGCTCACAGCAGCAGGTTGGCGAGCAGCACGAGCAGCAGCAGGGCGAGCGAGCGAGGAGGGGTGTGCAGAGGGTGATGACTATTGATGCGCCTCAAAGGGCACGGAGTGGAGAGGGCACACTGAACTCACAGCAGCAGGTTGGCGAGCAGCACGAGCAGCAGCAGGGCGAGCGTGCGCAGGTGCGAGGAGGGGCTCGCGGAAGGGGATGCACTCAGGCGCTGCGATCGCTCCTTGCCCACCACTCCGAACATCTGAAAGAGGGGGGAGGGGAAGGGGGGCGGGGGTTGAAAGAATGGCGGACACGAGGTGGGGGAACGGGTGCGCTGGCAGGATGGAGGATGGGAAGAGGAAATGGGTAGGCAGGAAGAGGAAATGGGTAGGCAGGAAGAGGAAATGGGTAGGCAGGAAGAGGAAATGGGTAGGCAGGAAGAGGAAATGGGTAGGCAGGAAGAGGAAATGGGTGAGAGAGTGGGCGCGCAAGTGGGGGGGAGAGAGGGGGCCATGTGGGTGCTCGGTAGAACAGGGGATCGTGCTTGAGGCGGGAGTGGGCCCCGCCTTGATGGCCGTGACAGCGGCAAACCACAGCAGCACAGCAGCCACGCGGCTCTTGAGGCGGCATTGGGGCCTGCGACTGGGGACTGCGACCCTGCTGGGTCCGGGACGACCGCTCACCTTGATGGCGGTGACCGCGGCGAACCACAGCAGCCACACGGGCTGCAGCACCAGCACGTCCACCAGCGATAGCAGCAGCAGCAGCTGTTGGGGGGATGGAAGGGAGGCGTATGATAAGGGGCACGTGGAGAGGCGGAAGTGGTGCGGGACGGGGAGATGAGGAAGGCGGGGAAAGTTGCGCCAGGACACCATTGGCAGTGGGAACGTGATAAAAGTGTAGTTTTGAGACGTCTCAAAATTACACTGTTATGACATGGACACCATTGGCAGAGGGAAGGCGCGTGGCGGATGGCGACGAGGGGTTGGTGCAACCACGGCAAAGCGGAGAACTCAACTTGAAGGGGATTTGCGTATAGAAGCTGGGCTTGAAGGGCGGTAAGGGGGTTTCACCTTGAAGGAGAAGTGGCCGATGAGTCGCACCTTGAAGGAGAAGTGGCCGATGAGTCGCTCCGCCAGCTTGTGCATCTCCAGCAGCGATAGCTCTCCCAGAAACAACTCCTGTGCACCGCACAGCACCACACCGCACCAAGGGCAGCGCCACAGCCGACATAGGCACGGGGAGGGAAGTATATGAGAGCTGGAAACTGATAAGGATGAAATATCCAAGTTCCTCTCCCGTTTCCTTCTCCCCTCCTTTTCCACCCTCTCTCTTTCCCGTACTGCCCTACCTTTTCCCCCCTCCTCCCTCTCTTTCCCGCGCTTTCCCCCCCCCTGCGCGCACCTTAGCGCCGACGACGCCGAGGAGCAGCGCGCAGAGCAGCAGGTTGTAGAGCGCGGCGGCGGACTCGACGGACTCCGACATGTGGCGGAACGACGCCAGCCACAGCGCCGACGCGTCCACCGCCGGCCCCTCAGACGCCGCCACGTGTCCCGCTCCCGCCTGCTCGCTCCCCTGCCTCCCCTCCGCCGCAGTCACCTCGCCTCCCTCCGCCCGCGCGCCCTCCCGCCCCGCGCTGCCGCTCGCTGCTGCGGTCACCGCCACCACCGCCGGTTGCTCCGCTGCCGCCTCGGGAATCTGCGCAGCGGATGCCGCCGGGGCGGGAGGACACGCCTGCAGGTGCGCCGGCAGGAGCGGCGCAGAGGCGGGCCATTGGCGGGCGAGCGAGTGTGCGCCGTGCTGCAGGTGCGCGTGCATGATGATGAGGTGCAGCCCGAAACACACGGCGCTCAGCGCCGCGTACGCCGCCAGCGCGCCCGCCACCCACACGCGCGACATCGCTCCGCCCCTCCCCGCGCCCGCTCCACTCAACTCCCTCCGCCTCGTGCCGTGGCGCGTCTGCTTGAGTATTCCCCGCTAAACTAGTGCCTGACGAACGATATAACACCTGCTAATACCTGCTAATAGCTGCTGGTAGTTGCTAATTTGTTTCACGCGACTGGCCTACGAGCCGACATTTTGCTGCTAAAGGCGGCCCTTCTATCATCGTTCGCTCCTCTCCTCGTTTTGGCAGCGACCATCGGAGACAGCAATGTATATCCCTACACGCTATCGGTATGCCGACAACAGTCGACGATGGCGATGACCCACGACGATACAAGCGACCTTGGACGACTCAAACGACAGCGCGCACGCGAAACTATAACACACACACTGGAACCGCGGCAAGCGGCAGGGAAGCGCACGACATGAAGGCGAGGGATGAATTGACGATACGCTATTTGCGATGTACAACGCATCTACACATAGATGTCAAGAGCGAGAAGCAGACTCGAAGCTAGATATTCTGTCGGTTCTCGGGTGCATTTGGATTTGGATGGAGGTTGGCGCGCAGAGCAAGCGAGTTCGTTCCAGCCTGCACGACTGCTGCACCTCACCCCACTTTCATCCATCTCCCTCACAAGCTGGGAGTTTCCGCTCTCGTTCCCCGCGAGCGATCGATGTTGGCGGACACGAATAGGTGGAGCAGAGGAACCCCCCCAACACGCTTGACCCTGAGAAATCGCGCGCTAGCCTCTTCCGCTCCTCCTCCTTCCTCCCTTTCTCCCTCCCCGCCAACGCTTTCCGCCAGAGCCAAGTTCCCGCCAACAGAGCATGAACCCACGAGGCAGGCATGCGCTCGGTTCCGCCCGCCCTCGGGGTTGGCTGGTTGGGAATTCCGCCGTGTCGCACAGGTTTCAACACACGCACCCCTCATGCGAACCATTTCTTGACGACTGACTGAACCAGTCACATCGCTGTGCGACATTGCCGAGTGGTTGACCCAGTCCGATGGATCGCCCACATTCGCACGACCACTCTGCTAGGAGGACCATGCGTTTCGTCAGGGAAAGCGAATTTCGGTGGGAAAGATCAAACCGAAAATCGTTATAGACAGCTTCGTAAAACTATATCGAATTAGAACTACGACCATACAAAAGAATATAGTGCTTCATATCGAAGCACTAACACTACCTAGCATGCTACTGATTTGCTAAATTTATGCCAGCAAGAGAGGTCTGAAGCAACGAGCGCGTTGCCTAGGTGCCTCTAGGTTGGAGATAAGGTGCTGGCATATGCAAGCAATGCATGAATGGATGCGGGTGAGCATGTCATTGTTAGACGGGGCAGACGACGAGAGCGTCGATTGGCAGAAATTAAGGATCCCACGCAGGTCAGAAGCCGACAAGTCAGTGCGTTTGCACGCAGCCTGAGACACAAGAAATGCAGCCAGCAGCACAGCAGTGAGTCAGAAAGCAAGAGACACGCAACGTCAGTGCCCTGTGGTAAGCAAGAGCCATTCCAAATGGTAAGGGCATGAACAATGACAGTCATCACAGTACCTGAACGAGCAGCAGGGAGGCGAGGCATTGCTGCATGACCGTCCGCACATCCCCTGCCGCACCAGAAGCCCGGACCTGCCCTTCGGCGCCTCCACTGCCACAGCCTTCCCTCTCCTCCCTCTGACCCCCCTCCTCCCTCTCCCCTCCCCCCACCCCATGCGCCACCGCTGCTTCATGCAGCCCCTCCTTCCCTGCCCCCCCTTCCCCACCATCACCAGCACGCGCAGTGCTGTCTGGAGGAGAGGTGGGAAAGGGGGAGGAGGCGGGCGGGCGGAGGGTGTGAGGGGGCGGTCGGGCCTTGGTGGTGGAGGACCGGTGGGGGCTGATCACATGCGCTGCTGCCCCCGCTGCTGCACCCGCTGCCGCTGTTGCAGCTGCTGCTGGTGCTGTGGGTGCATCAGGGGAGCAGGTGGCGGGGGGGAAGGCAGGCAGGGTGGCAGTGGGGGAGGCGAGGGGGAGGGAGGGGGGGCTGGCGGCGGAAGAGGGGGAGGGGGAGAAGAGCACTCGGTGGTGGTCTGGGGAGACAGCAAGTGAGGGAGCTGGAACAGCAGCTGTTGGCGCCGGTGCAGTGGCAGGTGTGGCAGGGTGGGCAAGGCCGCCTCTCTCCTTGTGTTGGCCTCCACCATCGCCTTCCCTCCTCCCCCCCTCTTCTGCCGCTGCCCCTGGCGCTACCCTGCTATCACCACCCGTTGCAGCGCCTGCAGCATCCCCACCCGTGACTGCCGCAGCTGCGGCAGCAGCAGCCGCAGCCGCTGCTGCGTCAGCACCAAAACGGGTACGAGTGTCGGCAGCAGCAGGTGGAGCAGCAGCAGCAGGCGGAGCAGCAGCAGGTGGAGCAGCAGCAGGTGGAGCAGCAGCACGGGCATCGAGGGCATCACGGCCAGTGGTGACAGCATCGGCCTCAGAGCCCCCTGTGGTGCCCGTCGTCACTGACAGCCCGCCCTCCTCCGATGCACACAGCAGCCCCCTCGCCCCCACCCCCTCCTCCCACCGCCCCCCTGCTCCCCCTGCCCCCCCTGCTGGTCCCCCTGCCCCCTGCACGGGGCAGGGGTGCTTGCCAGGGCTTCTCAGGGCGGGTCCCTGGGGGGTGAGTTGCAGCAGACGGTAGCGCGAGGCGTGGGGGGGCGGGGTGCTGGCAGGGTGGGGCGCAGGGCGCAGAGCGTGTGGAGGAACCGGGGCAGGGTGTTGTGATACAGTGTGGTGAGGTTCAGTGCGGTGTGGCATGGTGTCTGTATCAGCTGCAGGTGCAGCAGATGGGGCCACAGGGGCAGGGAGGGAGTGTGAAAGGTGGTGGTGTTGTTGCTCTGGTGCCTGTTGGGTTGCCTGTGGTGCTCCGTGTGGGTGCAATGACTGCATTGGAGCAGCAGCGGGAGCAGAGAAAGCAGCAAGAGGAGCAGATGGAGCAGCGGCAAGAGCCGCAGGAGGCACAGTGGCGGGTGGGGGGATAGCAGGTGGAGGGATGGAGGTGGGTGGAGCTAAGGGGAACTGTGGAGGGGGAAAATGTGGCGGAGGAATATGTGGAGGGGGGAGGGAGGAGAGAGCATGGGAGAGCAGCAGTGAGGGGTCAGCGCCAGGGGGGCAGAGGGAGAGGGCGTGCAGGGCAGCGGCCACCATGGCATGCGCCCTCTGCTGTGCCTCTCCTATCATCTGCTGTACACCCGCTGACACCGCCCCGCTGGCATCCGCCTCTTCCCCACCCCCTGCCCTCCCTCCTCCGCCCACCACCCCTTGGAGGGTTCCTTGACCCTCCTGCTCCATTTTCCCCCCTTCCCCTCCGCCCGCACCCCCCTCGCTCCCCTGTCTGCACGCTGCACCTACCCCTGGAGCCCTGCCCGGCTCATCCCAGCGCCCCTCTGCTTTGCCTTCCTCCTGCGCCTCCCCCATCGCTTCTCCCATCTGCCCAGCCCCGTCCACTGCTGCTGCTGCTGCTGCTGGCGCTGCTGGCGCGGCTGGTGCTGCTGCCATTGCCACCATTGCTGGTGCCGCTGCAGGTGGTGGTGGTGGTGCTGCTGCTACTGCTGGTGCCGTTAGTGCTGCTGCTGGCGGTGCTGCAGGCACCACAACCGGTGCAGGGGCAGGGGCTCTCAGGAGGTGCGAGGGGGGTGGAGGGGGAACGGTGGGCGGCAGGGAAAGCGGAGGAAGAGAGGGGGCTTGGGGTGGCGGGGGAATGAGAGGAGGGAGGCGCAGAGGGGCGTTGGCGAGGGCAGTGTGGGAGGAGGAGGCAGTGAGGAGGCGAGCAGCTGAGATGAGGGGGGAGGGGATGGGAGAGGCGAGGAGAGGGGGGGCGGCAGGGGAAGGCAGGAGGCGGTGGGTGGGGTGGGGGGAGGGGAGGAGGGAGGGCGAGGGGCGGGGGAGGGCCGGGTGGAGGAAGCGGTTGCGGCTTCTGAGGGCTTGCAGTGCCTTGTCCAACTGTGGGGGCATGGGAGGGGTGTGGTGGCATGGTATGGGATGGGGAACAATGGATGAGATAGGATGGGTTGCGTTGTTGAGAGGAATGCAAGAGACGTTTGCACGTATCAAGATTCAGGCTATCACCACTGCTCACCTGCTTGTCCGTGTCCCTCAGCTGCAGCAGCACCACCGCATACTGCCGCTGAAACGACTCATCCAACCCCACCCCTCCCTCTGCCACACCCCCTGCCTGGGTCCCCTCGCCCTCCCTCTCCTGCTGCACCCCCAGCTGCCCCTCTGCGTGCGCGTTGAGCCACTGCAGCTCCGCCAGCAGTGCAGCCTGGGAGACAGCAGCGTGGTGTGAATGGGAGGGAGACGGGAGGGACGGGACGGACCACACGGTTGGCAGAAGGGAGGGGAGAAAAAGGGAGAGACGGGAGGGAAGGGAAGGGGAAGGAAGAACAGGGGGTGAAGGGGAGCTGAGTTAGAAGGCACCTGGGACACTGGGTGAAGGATCTCTCAAGGGGAACTCTAACGAATCCCGCCAGCATCAGCCCACAGTATTGGTCGCAGCAGCGTGCCACCTCCACCACGGCGCGCACATCGTGCTCTAAAAAATCGCCTCACAACTTGCCTAAAGCTTTGTTAGAAAGGAAACCCCTGATAGATCGACCCTCCAAATTTCCCTCACCCTCACCTTCTTGTCACAGCAGCGCGCCACCTCCACCATGGCACGCACATCGTGCTCCCTCGACTGCCCTGCCTCCCCCGGACTCCCCCCCGCCACTAGCGGTGCCGCCAGCGGCCTGTGCGTGGGCGTCTTGAACGACTCTCCCGCACCACCCGCACCCACAGCAGCAGCAGCAGGTGCAGTGGCAGCAATGGCAGCAGCAGCAGTGGCAGGGGCAGGGGCGGAAGCAGGGGCAGGGGCGGAAGCATGGGCAGGAGGCGTGGGAGGGAGGCAACCGTTGAGATCCAAGTGACCAGGCCCGCCCTGCCATGGCTGCCCGCCCTGCCTTGCATGCTGCGGCGATGGGTGTACGCCATCCATACTGCTCTGCACTGCTGGGTGTGCGCCTTGCATGCCTTGCATGGGCACGTTCATCATATGCATGCCATGCTGTGGCGGGTTCATCACGCCATGCATGCCATGCAAGGGCAGCACATCCACGTCCACATCAGCCACTGCATGTGTGCCCAGCTGCCCCTCCTCAAACCGCACCACCACCGCCTCCCCCCCCCCCCACCCCTCCCCATGATCCCTTCCCTCCCTCCCCCCACCATGGCCCACGCCCACCACCCTGCCTGCTGCCACCACGCCCGTGCCAGGGTGCACTGCCAGTACCGCCTCCCCCACTTGCACCTGCCCACCCCCTTGCGCCCCCACTCCTGCAGGCGCACCAGCAGCAGTGGCGAGGGCGGCGCGGGCGGCAGCACGGAAGGCGTTGAGGTTGGCGCGTTCCTCTGCCAGGAAGGCGGGGGAGAGGCGGCGCGGCTTGCCCATGGCGCTGGGGGGAGGGGAGGGGGGAGAGGGGATGCAAGGGGGACAGGGGGAGAGTGGTGAGATGGGCAAACGGGTGGGTTGACAAGAGAGGGTTGCAGGAAGCGTGGAGGGACGGCGGATGTGCGCGTGAAAAATCATGTGAGGGCGAGACTGAAGCTAAGGGGATGGGGCAGGGTAGAGGAGCAAGGGGCCAAGGATAGGCAGGCTCACGAGCACTGGGGCCGGCAAAGAGTGCGAGGGAAGAAGGCTTCAAGCGAGGCATGCACTCCAGGGCGCTGCAGTGCTTACAGTCACCAGCGATATGTGGAGCCAAGGAGAGGCGCAAGCACTCACCAGCGCAGCAGGCGCCAGAGCGTGCGCGGGAGGGCAGTGGGCGGCGGGGCGGCGAGGAGCGCGAGGCAGCGGTGGAAGTCGCTGTGGCGGAACCAGGGGCGGTCGATGGCGCTGTAGAAGAACTCACACCGCGCCCATCGCTGCACTGCCAGGCACATGGGTGGTGGTGGGGGGGGGAGAGAACCATCTACCCCATCCCTGCCCTCCCTGCCCTCTCTCCCCTCCTGCCACATCTCCACGCGCCTCTTCCTCCTGCCTGCCCCCCGCGCTGCTACGCGTGCCGCTCTGCCCCACGTTTCTCCTCCCCTCTCTGATGCTTGGTATTGCTGAGGTGGCGACACGTGTTGCCCAGGCTGATGTGGCATGGGCGGCCACGTGGCATCCGCCCTCTGCTCCCCTCCCCCCTGCTGCGCGCCCCCATACTCCCCCCCGTCCCCTTGTGGACCGCCCATGGGGAGGGGCAGGCGCAGAGGAGCAGAGTGCAGGGGGAAGGCAGTGTGGTTGGGCGCGGGGTGCATGGGGAGCAAGGGGAGCATGGGGGGAGTGGAGGGCGCGGGGGTTATGGGCGCAGGGGGTATGGAAGGAGGCATTTGCAGCAACAGGGGCCCTGGTGCGGTTGAGAGGTGTGGGGCGGGCGGATGGAGGGATGCAGAGGGTCGGGGGGAGAGGGGCAGGGCGGATGGGAGGCGGAGGGAGAGAGAAGGCGAGGAGGAAGGGGAGAGAGGATAGCTCAGCAGATTGGTTCTAGAGCCCACGGAAGGAGCGGTTGCTGCCACTGCTGCTGTTGCTGTGGTGGCGGCAGTGTGTTGGGAGGGTGGCAGCAGCGGCAGCAGCTGTGCCGTAACTGGCCGAGGCTGTTGCTGCTGCTGCAGCACATGCCCCCCTGTATCTGCTGCACTTGAGTCTCGAGCTATCCCAACATACCCCACCGGACTCACGCCGCTGCCTGCGCCCTCCCTGTCGTCTCGTCCCATCAAATCGAGTACCACCCTCTCCTCCACCAACCCCCCCTCCTGCTCCTTCCGCCTCTCCCTCACCCCTCCCTCCTTCCCCTTCTTCCTCTCCCTCGCCCCAGCATCCTTCCCCTTCCGCCTCTCCTTCCCCTGCTCCCCACCAGCCCCACGTGGCCCTGCAGCAGCAGGGGCAACCGGGGGAGCCACAGGTGGAGGGGCGGAGGGAGCAAGGGAGTGGGGAGGCAGGGGGTCATGCTGCTCTGCGCCCTGCACTTGCCCCTCCTTTACCTTCCCCTGCCCCTTCTTCTCGCCCTGTCCCACTTCCTCCCCCTTCCTCCTCCCCTTCACAGCCCCCTTGCCCCCCCCTGCCGCTTTCCCCCCCCCACCTCCTCCTCCCCCTCCCCCCTGCTGCCGAGCCACCTCCCCTCCCCCGACCCTCGCCCCTTCCCCGGCCGCCCTAGCCTCGCCCCCCGCCTGCCTCGCACCCCCTGCCCCTTTCCCCCCAGCCCCCCCAACGGCCCTGCTGCTGCTGCCCTGCACACCACCACCGTCCACCACAGGCACTGACCCGCCTTTGCCAGCCACTGCACCGCTGCCCGCCCTGCTGGTGCTGCTGCTGCTGCCAGGTCTGCTGGTGGTGGTGGCGCTGGCGTGTGCGGCTGCCGCGTGCTGGAAGCGCCGCAGCATGTCGTCTAGCGGGTCTGCCTCCGCCCTTGCTGTGCCCGCTGCACCTGCTGCAGGTGCAGCACTCACAGCCATGCCTCCACCTGCAGCACCACCCGCTCCACCTGGCATAGCACCTGGCACGGGCGGCAGCACGACACTGAAGGCGCTCGGCCGAGGGGGTCGCACTGCCGCTGCTGCTGCTGCTGCTGCTCCAACTGCTGCCGCTACTCCTGCTGCTGCTGCCGCTGCAGGCACGGCAAGGGCAGGAGCAGCAAAGGGCATGGCGGGCGTGGAAGGGAGGGCAGGGAAGGGGACTGGGACGGGCAGAGGGGGTGCCGGGGGTGGCGGCAGCAGAGGGTAGGGGCCGGGCACAGGGAGCGAGGCGGGAGGGCGTGGCCGCCCTGTTGCCTGCTCCGGCTGGCTGCCTTTGTCTTTAATCGTCCCGCCTCCTTCCTTCCTCTCATTGCCCCCTCCCGCCTTGACCTTCTTACTCTTCTTTCCCTTCCTCGGCACAAGCCCTGCCCCTCTGGGCGCCTCCCTGCTGCCCTGCGCCCCTTCTCCCGCCCTCGCCTCACCCCCCTGCTTGTCTGCTGCGCGCTGCTTCCCTGCAACCCCCCCTCCGCCCTCCCCCTCCGCCTCATGCTGCTGGCCCGGCTGTGGGGGAGGCGACAGGTGGTCTGAGGGTATCGGGTTGGAATGGGGGCGACGGGGAAAGGAGAGGGAGGAGGTTTCAAGATCAGCAGCAGCAGCAAAGGCAGAAGCAGGGCAGTGCAAGAACGCAAGGGTCCGTTTCATACCTGTGGCGGAAATCCCAGCAGCACCAGAGGCAGGGGCGAAAGGGGCGCCCACAGCAGCGCTGGCAGCCGGAGCAGCAGCAGGGGCATGAGGGGCGGCATGGTTGTTGGCGCGCGCCATTGCTGTCAGAGACAGGTCTGCCAACGTGGCCAGCGCATCCAATCCGGAGCTGCCACCTGGCAAGGGAAGGGAACGAGGAATTCATGTGAATGGTCGTGCATGGTGCATAGTGCATGCTGCATGGTGCAGAATGCATGGTGCATGGTGCATGGTGCATGGTGCATGGTGCATGGTGCATGGTGCATGGTGCATGGTGCATGGTGCATGGTGCATGGTGCATGGTGCATGCTGAGTGGGGGAAGCTGGGAGGGCCTGGAGCCTTAAAGTGGCGCCATTCCACTCGTCCTGTGCAGGCAAAGCATCCCGCGTCCTCCCTTCCCCTCCACCCACATCTCCCACTCACCATGGAAAAGGCTGCGTGCATGCTCCCCCCCTCCACTACCCATGCCCTCCTGCATCCCCTGCCCCGCTGCTCCCGCTTCGCCCCTCGTAGCCCCTTCTCCCCCTCCATCTCCATCTCCCCCAACTCGCCCCGCTTCTCCTGCATGCTGCCCCGCCTCCCTCTCCCCCCCACCACGCACGCCACCCACTGCCTCCCCTCCCTGCCCACCGGGCCCGCCCCCCACCTCTGCCCCGCCTGCAACCCCCTTCCTCTTTGCCTTTGCCTTGCGCTTGCCCCCCTTCCCCTCCTTCCCCTCCTTCTCCCGCTTCCCTTCCTTCCTCTCCTCACCACCCTTCGCCTCCTTCCCCTCACCACCGCCCTTCTCCTCTCTCCTCTCCTCACCCCCCCTGTCCTTCTCCTCCTCGTTCCCTGCTCCCTTCTCCTCTCCACGCCCCTGCATCCCTGCCAACCTGCCACCACCCGTCGCCCCACCTGCCTCGTCTGCTCTGCTCTCTTCCTCCCCCGCCTCCTCCTTCTGTGCCCCTGCCTTCTCCTCCTGTTCCTGCTGCTGTGGCCACAGTGACACTCGCACACCAGCATTCGCCTCAGAGCGTCTCTTCTCCTCCTCCTCTGCCTCGCCTCGCCTTCTCGCACCCACGCCACCCACCACAGCAACCGCCGACCGAGCCTTCTTAGGAGTGTGCGTTCCCACGGCCCTCTGCCTGCCCGCCCCTGCCATCCCGCCCCCACCCCCCTGCCTCCCCTCGTGCCCTGCATGCCTCTCCTCATCCCCTCTCTCCCCTTGCCCGCGCCCCCCTGCTTTCCTTCCCTGTACACGCTGCCTCACATCCCCGCTGCCCTCCTCTCCCCCACCCTCCCCTCCGCCCCCATTTCTCCTGCCCTCGCCCTCCTCCTCCAGTTGCCTCTTCCTCTGCCCCACCACGCCGCCTCCCTTCTCCCCCTTTCCCCCGGCTCTCTCCCCTTCCACCCCTCTCCCCTCTTCCCCCTCGCCCTTGCCCCCACTAGCAGGCACGTGCGCCCTACGACTGCGCTTGCCCCGCGACCACAGAGGAGCGGCTGGAAGAAGGGGAAGGGGAAGAGAGGGGAGGCAGAAAGTTGAGAGAGGGTACAAGGGTAATCGCACCGCACGTGGCTAGAAAGCATTGCATTGGCACTCACACGCGCGCGCGCGCGCACGCACGCACGCACGCACGCACGCACGCACGCACGCACGCACGCACGCACGCACGCACGCACGCACGCACGCACGCACGCACGCACGCACGCACGCACGCACGCACACACACACACACACACACACACACACACCTGCTGCTTGCCTTCCACCTGCTGCTGCTACCTCCCGCACATCCTTCCCTTTCACAGCGCCATCACTCCCCCCCCGCCCTGCACTGGACCCCGTGCTTCTCCCCACGCTCCACTGCTGCCCCTCCTGCTCCTCCGCCCCTTGCTCCGGGCTCCCCTCCTCTACCCCCCGCCTCTCCTCCCTCCTCCCACCCTCACTCCGCCTGCCACCGCCCCTCCCACTGCCTGCCACGTCGCTCCCCTCCGCGCCCTCCCCTGCCTGCCGCCCCCCTCTCTCCCCCTGCTCTTGACCCCTCCCCTCCTGCTGTCCCCTCTTCCCCTGCCCCCTCCTCTCCTCACGGCTGTGACCCACACTGTTGGTTCTGCGTCTGGTGAGAGGCCGGTGATACTGCACCCTTGCCTCACTCTCACTCTCGCTCCTACTCTCCCTCTCACTCTCGCTCTCATTCGCTCCCACACTCGCACCCTCACTGCCACTGCCCCTGTCACTCCGGAACCCAACACTGCCCCCTTCCCCCTCCCCTTCCCCCTCCCCCTCCGCCTCACTCCCACTCTCACTAAGAATCCCGCCGCCCCTGCTGCTACGGTGCACAGTGCGCCCCCGCCGTCGCCCCACAGGGGGGGTGACAGAGGCGGCCTGGCTGCCATGGTCCTGCCCCCCCGCCCCCGCTTGCCCCGCCTGCCCCGCCGCCTGCCCCTCGTCCGCTGCCTGCGGGTGCTCTGCTGCGGCCTCGTGCTGGACGCGCAGCCAGGATGGTAGTGAGAGAGGGACGGATGTGGGGGGGTTGGGGGCAAAGAGGGGGGAAGGAGCAGTGTTGGAAGGTGCAATGGTGGTTACTCGCGAGAAAGAGAGCAGGTAAAGGGTGGGAGCAGGGGAAGTGCGGTAGCTGGGGAGGCAAAAGAAAAATAAACATGCAGGCAGGAAGCGGGCAGGCAGGGGGGCATGCAAGGTTGGGGCAGGGGAGGGGCGTACGAGCATGGAGTAGTGGCAGGGGAGGGAGGGGCGTACGAGCATGGAGTAGTAGCAGGGGAGGGGCAGGAGAGGGGCGTACGAGCATGGAGTAGTGGTCGGTCATCATGGCCACCAGCCCCACCGCCGATGCTGCTCCCTCTGGCAACGACAGGTACGCCTGCATGTGACGGGCAGCACACACACACGCAGCACAAGGCAGCAAGTGAGCGGACTGCTATCAAGATGAAGCAGGGATGCAAGACTCTCACTGGATAGCCATTGGATACTTGTCATACTCGTGCGCCTGAGGGCGAGGGGGGGACGGACTCACCCTGTTCATGTTAAAGAGCGCCTCCGCCATCTCCTCTGTTCGCCCCGGTAACTCCGCCACCACCTGCACGCACCCAGCAAGGAGCATTGCACCGGACAAACATTGCACCACACAAGCAGCCATGAATCACCAAGCAGAAGAACCATAGATAGAAGCATATGAACGGCCCTGATTGGGCTTAACAGCCTGGAGGCTAGATCAGGTGCCTCATGGGTTCAGGTGCCTCATGGGTTCAGGTGCCTCATGGGTTCAGGTGCATGGTTGGATCAGGGGCATGATAAGATCAGGTGCCTGATTGGATCAGGTGCCTGATTGGATCAGGTGCCTGATTGGATCAGGTGCCTGATTGGTGACGGTGATGATGTATGCTGTGCGGACGAGGGTGACCGTGATATTAACGAAACCAGCTGCTGAAGTGACGTCACCCATCCACATACACGCCCATCCGTTCCCTTCCTGCGACGCCTTCCCCTCCCTCCCCTACCTTGCGCTAGTCTTCTCCACCCCCTCCCTCCCACCCCTTCCCCCCCACCCCTTCCCACCCCTCGCCCACCTTGCGCCAGTTCTTCCCCTCGGCGCGCAGCAGGCGGTAGAATGCGCGCAGCTCGCCGTCGCTCCATACGGGCCCCAGCCGCTCCACCAGCTTGCGCCGCTGCGGGCGCAAGGGGAAGACGCGGGGAAGGGGGAGACGAAAGGGCGGAAGTCGTGACGCATGTGCGAACGGCGACGATGGGAGTGAGGATCAGGCCGGGCGGCGACTCTGTGCGACCGACCCACGCCAAGTGATCGAGTCGGCTTGCGACAGCTCGCGAGGTAGCGACACCTCGCGAGGTAGAGACACCTTGGTGGTAACGCGAAATGGGAAGACGCGAGTAACGACGTGGATCATGCTAGGAAACCCTCGAACCAGACATGCTCGCGACGAATCGAACAATCAAGAGATGCGAGCGACGACACGAAGAGCGCAAAGGAGAAGGTGGGGGATGTGAGCGGTGAACTCGAACGACGCCGTGCAGGTGACGCTTGTCGCGACGCAGCAGTCACCTCCATGAAGTACGGGACTATACCGCAGGAAACCGGAATCTAAAGGTTTAATCGTAATCTTGCCTTGTGTCGTTGCGCATGCCGAGCGTCGGCGGCGCGCGGTTGCGCGTGCGCTCTCGACTGCGAAGACGTCTTTCTGTGCGGCGCCATGGCTGACCGCGCCCCGCTACCCGCTAAGTCACGATTCACGGCGCGACATCGCGAGAATAATTATCGTTTAGCTAAGCGGAAACTCTGTCTCATACCGAAGGCTGACAGTAAGCGAGGCGCGGAACTAAAAAGGTTAATTACAATTGGTGTGAAAAGTCGGGCAACAAGTTCAGCCAGGCGAGGCAAGCGCATCTAAGGGAAGTTGGCTGAAGTGAGGCACAAGGGAGGCGACGGTACTGTGCTGTGCTGCAGCAGGGACAGGCAGAGTGGAAGTGATGGAACAGGTGAGGGGATAGGGGAGGAAGAAAGTAGAGGAGCAAGACGCGGCACAAGCAAGGAAGCAAGCAGGCAAGCAACCAACCACCCGTTTATCCCTCGGGATTGCCTTTCCGCGTCTTTCCGCCCCTCACCTGCCCACAGCAAATTTGAATCAAACCCTCAGCGCGCTCTGCCCCGTACCTGCGAATTCGCGGGAAATCGCCACCTTCGCTTTAGTTACATTAGCGAGAATGGTGGAATACTTCGATAGCCGTAGCTGATTGTAAAAGATTCTCTCGAAAAAATGCCAAGGGGAGCAATGAAACAATCCACTCTTTTTATAATTTCTTACAAAATCACAAGCACTGCAGGTGCTATTCTCATGCAAAATACACAAAAACTGATCAACAAAACCCTTAATTTAAAAAGTGAGGTAGACAATCATTCTTGGGCAGCTGCCTCTATCTCATTGCGCCATCTCCGGTAGTGCACGCCTAGCTTGTCATAAAGTACAGGATGGTTCCACACATTCGCACCCCGTCGCATCCTGTCCTGCTGCCCTACAACCAAACGCAAGTCCTCATCCAGCACCTGCTCAAGCATTGGCGGACAAAAAGAACATTTGGTCAGTCCTAAGCAAGGATATTCACAAGTAGCTGTATATGGAAGATGGCGTTACTGGAGATGGTGCTGAAATAATGCTGAAAACGTGGAGGCCAAAGCTCACCTGGTTAGCCAAAGACTTCCACAATCTGTCGATGAAAGGCACAAACTTGACCCACTGGGCGAAGTCAAGCCCCATGCGGTAGAGCAGCCGTGTCTTGCCGCGTGACGACGGCAGGCAGGCGTGCAGCTGGTACAGATGCTGCGTGCACTCCTGCGCGCTGGCCTCCCCCTCCAGCTGGCCCGGCTTGACGAGCCCGATGGTGGACACCACCATGCAGGGCGGGCGGAACTCCATGGCGATGGGGTATGGGTCCCAGTGGCCCTGCAGCGCTTGCGTTGCTGCCGCCTTGAAACGGACCAGGCTGCCACAGGGAAGCACAGAGGAGAGGACAAGAGAAGAACGATGTTAACCTCCCAGGCGGTAAGAGCAGTCAAGTGCAGAGGGGGCAAGGCAAGGGCACACACTGACCTGGGGACGGACCAGCCCTTGGCGAAGGTGGTGGTGTGTGTGAAGGGCGCGTGGGCGAGGTCCAGGAGGTTCTCCACCAGCAGCCCGTGCTCCACCGGCAGCTCTATCACTATCTGCAGGGGGGCAGCACAGCAGCACGAGGAGGGCAGGCAGGCAGAGGTGCATTTGAGCATCGCAGCACACCACAGCAAGCAGGCAGTGGTGCACACGAGCAGGTTTTAGCACAACAGCACTGGGAGTTTTTCTCTGCTCTGGCAGGGACTGCAGCAGCACAGCCCTGAGGCTCACCTCAGCGTGCACGGTGTAGGAGGGCGGCGGCATGGTGGAGGGCAGCGTGTCGGTGGGCGTGGCGGTGCCGGGCCACACCCAGATCATGCCCTCGTGCTCCACACACGGCAGCGCTCGCACTCGCACGTTGGTGAGGCGCGTGGACGGCATCTTGGTGCACTGCCCGTCCGGCTTGAACTCCCACCCTGCCAAGGGACAAACGGAGGGACGTGGGCTTAGGTACAGACAGACACCATATGACAAGGCAGGCTACAGCAGAAAGTGGTAACAACCAATTGCATGGGGTACATGTGAAAGAACTGAAGCCATACCGTGGTAGGGGCAGACAGCGTGGCCTTCCACCACAGTGCCGATGGAGAGAGGGCATGCCCTGTGCGCACACTCGTCCCGGATGCACCCTGGCTTGCCGTCTGGGCCCCTGAACACCACCCACGGCTCCTCGAAGCAGTCAAACGGAATCTGTTGGAATGGCAGCGGGTGATGAGGATCATAACAACAGGTGGGGAGTGAGTGACATGCCACAAGGGACGGAGGCTAAAAATCAGCATGCCGGAAATGCCATATCTAACCTGGACGACCACTGTAAAGGGAACAGCGCCCACCATAGCCCACGGCATCTACCCCCACACATCCACGTCGCATGCACCCCTGCACGAGCGTCCGCCACGCACCAGCGTGGAGGCGTCGACGTCTTTGGAGAAGGCGACGGGGAACCAGAAGTTCTTGAGCGTGGACGCGTACTTGGGCAGCGGCCCCGACGTGTCCAGCTTCGTGCGCCGCGGAGCCTTCCCCTTCCGCTTCCCCTTCGCCACGCGCCCCTGGGACGCCGCCGTCTCCGCGGCGCTCTGCAGCTCCGCAGGCTCCGCGGCCAGAATCGCCTCCGCCTTCTCCACCACCGCCAAGCTCCCCTCCGCGCGACCTGCGCTAGCACTCGGTGCGCTACCTTCCTCCGCATCCCCCTGGCTGCTGCTGGATTCCCTGGGAAGGGGGTCCACCACGCGCGTAGTCTCCACGAGCGACTCCAGCTCCGTCATCCGGTCCAGCGTCTGCCGCACGCGGGTCTCCGACGCGCGCACCTGCGCGCGCGCGGCGGCGAGCTCTTGCCGCATGTGCTGCAGCTGCTCCTCGAGAGACACGAGGGACTCGGTGTCTGACGTGGACTCCAACGACGCCACGAACACGCCCGCCGCTACCCGCCGAGCCTGCACGCGCACACGATGCCGTTAGCGCTACTGGCTCGCTACGTTACGATCACGACGCTACTGGCACTACTACGATGCGGTGATGAGAAAGGATGAGCGGAACACTGCTGTCTCGCACCTCGTCCTGCTCGTCGCTCTGATCGCCCCGCGGCACTCCAAACAGCTCCCCCGCGCTCTGCAATGCGTCCGCCACCGCGGGTGCTGGCCAATGCGCCACCTACGTTAACGGGAAGAGCAATGGAATATGCGGCGATTAGGAACGGAATTATGGGAACAAGCAGCCTGGCGCAAATCGACTAGATCTGAATTAGCAGCACTCGTAACCAGCGACGGAATGACGAATCCGGGTTACAAGGCGTGGCACGTGCGATTGCAAGGCAGGGAGGGTCAGCGATACCTGTGCTGCTGCTTTGCCCCCCGCGGCGCCAGATTGAGCCGCAATTAGACCAAACCGAAGATCAAAACCTGCCGCCTGGTCTGACCCATCCAACGACCCCTGAAATCGAGAATACGCGGTAAGGGACAAGTCTGATGTGAGAAAACTGCGATGAGGCGAAGAGGAGTTAAAAAAGGGGGTAACGACTCAAAGGTTTACGAAGCAAAGGGACGTACGTTGAGGCCGGCGCAGAGATCTGGTAATAGCCCGGCAGCCGCGACGGTGGCCTCGAGCCAGACATGCGATCCACGTGCCTGCAGAGGCGGGGGCGATGAGAGAGGAGAGCGGTTGTGAGAGGGAACAGCAGTCAGGAGACGACACCGGCCATTGAGAAGCCTCAGAACCTTTGAATGTGACACGTCACCTCAAGACTCGCAGGAAGAATAAGGGCACGTGTGGTTCACCTGGATCTGGAGCGGCTCTTGGACGTCGGCGGGGTCAAGGCGAAGCACAGACGCTCGCACGGCCTGTGAGGGGAGTAAGCCGAGTTGATGCGGAAAAAAAAAGGAAAGATATGGTGTTTCACACGTCCCGCATCGCAATTTAAACGGACACGGACCGTGCTGAAGGGAACACGGTTAAAATATGACGTTAACCCACCCGTAGGAGCTGGCAGAAATCGTGATATTCCCTGGCGTTCATCGCCAGACTCCATCCCTCTCCACCGACCTGGAATATGGCCAGTCGGAGAAAGAAGAAAGGGACCAAATAGGATGCGGTGGGTAACAACTCGCACGGTTAACGACGACTAAGTTTCTTAAGGTTCTAGAGTAACGAATGCGAGCAGCAATGCTTGAATACTACACTGAGGATTCCTATTTGAGTCCGCACCGAAGCAGCAAAACTGTCGGTTGAGTTGGGTGATGCCTCATAAGCCACACGCCACCCCTCCCCTTGAACCAACCGGAACTCTGCCTCCGGAGCAACCTCTTGCGTCGAGCAGCCTGAAAGGAGGATGCAACGAAAAGCGATTTAGCCAGTGATGCCGGATTGAGACGACGGCGAGATCGAGAAGGGACACAAAGTCCAAGGCTTCACCTGTCAAATCGCACGTAAGCCATGCACCGTCTGCGTGGGTAAGTTTGGACCCGCTGTCGAGTGATAGGACGAGCTTATTTGCTTGGCGAATGGAAGCCATGTCTCCCGCATTTTGACTGCTGAGGCTCATCCGAACTACTCTAGATGAAGAAACATCCTGTTCTTTGGCAAATCTTCTGTCACTACGCAAGGTGCGACCTCCTAGACCAGAATGGCTTGACGACAGACATGCCGTTCGGGACGCGGTGGTACGCTTCGAGGGACGGCTGACACCGCCATGGACAGGCTGCTTCGTGAAGCCTACTCGCTGAACCGTGGAAGCCGCTAGAGAGTTCATGGCTACACGCGAGTATGGCCTCCTCTACGCACAGGAGCAGTTGCCCTTCCTGAATGACATCAACCAGGAAAGGGATCCGAGTTTAGGATAATTCGTTGAAGAAATAGGTCTCCGAATGCGACCAGGGTCACTGAATGATGAGGGATAGATTAGGATGGTCCCGTCAAGGTGTGTGGTGTGGAGTGGAACGGTCGGCTTGCAGGAGGTGAGCACACACGGGGGAGGGGGAATGTTGATGGTGGTGGTGGCGCTGTTTAGGGTACTTTGTCGCAGAGGGAGAAGATAACCAATCAGAGGCCTGCTGCGAGGGGAACCATGCGAAAGTTGTTGGAGAAGTTACGACTTTCTCGTGGACAGCAACGGATTCGTTGCTGGGATCCTTCGCCATCCTTGGGTGCGTGAATTCATCGGGGCGCCCAAGAACGTACAGTCGTTGACACGCGATCCCTTTCTCGGAACATGATTGGATAGATGATTCTATCAGGATCCCGATATGACCTCTCAACGGAGTGAGCTCAGCACCGCGGATTGCTGGCTTCATTGCAACATGGATGGGGCGAAGGGAATGCGTTGACGACACATGCCTGCATACAAGCTGAGGAAGCCCTGCATCCCAAAGCAGTTGCTACACATCAGTATAAAATGTATAACCTGGAATTAGTGTAAAACTCTTTTATGTACAATCAGGCCCCTAGATTGGTTCTGGGAGTGTATGAAGGAACATCAAACGACGCAAATGAGCATGCCAATAATTTGTGTGTGAGATTTTCTTCGAAACGTCCTTGGCCACCTGGAACATTCAATACACTGGTTAGTCATATGGTCGTTTACAACACGATTAAAAGTGCAGTTACCTATGAGAGTGGCATGTGGCCGACTGTGAAGCTGGGTTTTACTTCAGGTACATTACATTGGCCATTGCAAAACATTGATACTAAACCGCATCACCTTCTAGCAAGACAATGTCCCCAACAAAACTCGTTCCAACCCAAAGCCCTGCTGATCTAGGACCACCACAATGGCTCCGTCTGCCTCTGTCAAAACAACTTTTGCCAAGGCAGCTTATGTCGGGGATGTCTCCGCACTCGCCCTTCTGCCTTGGCCCTCCCTTACCTCCCTCCACTATAAATCGCGCCGCACACAGACTGGCGCCGCTGCCTCTCACGAAGAGTCGTGTGCACAGCGCGGGGGAGAGGAGAAGGAGGAGGCGGGCCAAGCAGCGGCGCGCGAGGAGCGGGCTGACCGGCACAGCGAGCAATGCGCGGGCGCCGATAAATGCGCGGGCGCCGATAAGTTCGCGGGCGCCGATAAATGCGCGGGCGTCCATGCGTTCGACCACCATGCGTCAGCTCTTGTGCTCGCAGGTGCGCCTAGCTGCACGCGCACACAAGCCTCTTTCCCTCAAACACGCGCAAACGCTCGTCTCCGCGCACCCGCCAACCGCTTCCCCCTGTTCGCCACTGCGCCCGCCGCTTGCCCATTCCCGCCTCCCCTTCCGCCCTGCCTCGCCCGCGCGCCCCCCGCCTCCGCCTCCCCCGCGCCCCCTCTGCTCGTCTACCCCGCATGCCCTCCCCTCCCCCGCCACGCCTCTCATCCCTCCGCCCCCCCTCATCCCACCCTCCTCCCTCTCCTCGCTCCAGTCCACACTCACTTCCCCCCCCCTGCATTCTCTCCTTCAGTCCCTCCCCGCTCCCCCTCTGCCTCCTCTTCCTCCTTTCCCCTTCTCCTTCCCCCTTCCCCCCCCTGCCCGCCCCCGCCAGCCATGGGGCCCACGCTGCGCTGCTACCACCTGCCGTCGGGGCGGCTGCTGGCAGCCGTTGATGTGTTCGACGGCGTGCGGATCCACGGGATCGTGCCACGTGGCAGCCGAGGAGTGGGCGGCGCTGTGTGGACCCGCGAGGGCGAGGGCGAGGGGAGGGGGGAAGTGGCAGCAGCGGTGGTGGTAGTGCATGGGGAGAGGCGGGTGAAGCTGGTGGTGCTGACGGTGCAGGAAGCAGCACAGGGGGCGGTGACAGTGACAGCGCAGCAGCAGGGCGTGGGGGAGCGGAGAGTGACAGCGGAGCAGGGGGATGTGGGGCAGGGGGTGGGTGGGAGTGCGGGAGTGCGGATGGCGGTGGGTGCAAGTGTGCCGTGCAGGGACCACTGGGTGTGTGACGCCGCCCTGCTGCCCTGCCCTGTGCACGCCCATGCCACGCAGGTGACAGACAGCCCATGCGGACTCGTATGACTCTCCTGCGATATTGCATGGTATTGCGTGCCCCCTGCTGCCTGCTGCTTGCCTGCTTGCCATCTTTACTCATTCCTCTTCCCGTCCGAACCCAGGGATTTCCCATCGTCCTTCCCTTCTCTCTAATCCCCCCCTCTCTCTTCCCCCCCCTCTTGCCCCTCCCACTCCCACCCTCCCTCCCTCTCCCCCTTCGCATCACCAGGCGGGCGTGCTGGCGGTGGGGCTGAGTGACAACAGCGTGGAGCTGTGGGCCACAGCAGCCACTGGATCGGATGGGACGTGCGGCCAGGATGGCACCGGGGAGTTTTCTCTGAGGCTGCTGCGCTCTGTGGCTTGCTCAGGCACGCACCTCCCTTCCCCTCCCCTCCCCTCCCCTTGGCACCATGCCATGCCTGCTTGCACCCTGCTGCCATGCACCACAGCTTGCGAGGGAAGCAGGACTGCACCCTGGAGCCATGTTCTCATCATGCATACACACTGACAGTGCTGTGCTCTCTCTTGCTCTCTTGCTCTGTCTGTGTCCATATGGTTACATGCCCCTGTGTGTGCCCCACCCCGCCCCCTCCGCTCCGCTAATGCCCATCCTCCGTGTGTGTGTGTGTGCGTGTGTGTCCCTGCACGTGCGTCAGACCGCAGTCTGCTGTACGCCATGCGCCTGCACTGGCATGCACCCACTTACACCCCACCCCCCACGCCCCACGCCCGACCCTCTCTCTTTGCGTGTGTGCTCTCCCCTGCACTGCACGTGCATCAGACCGCAGTCTGCTGTACGCCATGCGCCTGCACTGGCATGCGCCCCTCGCAACCCTGCATGTGGCGGCCGGCACCATCTTCAACCAGGTGCTATCACAATTGCACACCTCTGCACCGCACAGCCGCAGTGCCGCACCTCTGCACCGCACAGCCGCAGTGCCGCACCTCTGCACCGCACAGCCGCAGTGCCGCACCTCTGCACCGCACAGCCGCAGTGCCGCACCTCTGCACCGCACAGCCGCAGTGCCGCACCTCTGCACCGCACAGCCGCAGTGCCGCACCTCTGCACCGCACAGCCGCAGTGCCGCACCTCTGCACCGCACAGCCGCAGTGCCGCACCTCTGCACCGCACAGCCGCAGTGCCGCACCTCTGCACCGCACAGCCGCAGTGCCGCACCTCTGCACCGCACAGCCGCAGTGCCGCACCTCTGCACCGCACAGCCGCAGTGCCGCACCTCTGCACCGCACAGCCGCAGTGCCGCACCTCTGCACCGCACAGCCGCAGTGCCGCACCTCTGCACCGCACAGCCGCAGTGCCGCACCTCTGCACCGCACAGCCGCAGTGCCGCACCTCTGCACCGCACAGCCGCAGTGCCGCACCTCTGCACCGCACAGCCGCAGTGCCGCACCTCTGCACCGCACAGCCGCAGTGCCGCACCTCTGCACCGCACAGCCGCAGTGCCGCACCTCTGCACCGCACAGCCGCAGTGCCGCACCTCTGCACCGCACAGCCGCAGTGCCGCACCTCTGCACCGCACAGCCGCAGTGCCGCACCTCTGCACCGCACAGCCGCAGTGCCGCACCTCTGCACCGCACAGCCGCAGTGCCGCACCTCTGCACCGCACAGCCGCAGTGCCGCACCTCTGCACCGCACAGCCGCAGTGCCGCACCTCTGCACCGCACAGCCGCAGTGCCGCACCTCTGCACCGCACAGCCGCAGTGCCGCACCTCTGCACCGCACAGCCGCAGTGCCGCACCTCTGCACCGCACAGCCGCAGTGCCGCACCTCTGCACCGCACAGCCGCAGTGCCGCACCTCTGCACCGCACAGCCGCAGTGCCGCACCTCTGCACCGCACAGCCGCAGTGCCGCACCTCTGCACCGCACAGCCGCAGTGCCGCACCTCTGCACCGCACAGCCGCAGTGCCGCACCTCTGCACCGCACAGCCGCAGTGCCGCACCTCTGCACCGCACAGCCGCAGTGCCGCACCTCTGCACCGCACAGCCGCAGTGCCGCACCTCTGCACCGCACAGCCGCAGTGCCGCACCTCTGCACCGCACAGCCGCAGTGCCGCACCTCTGCACCGCACAGCCGCAGTGCCGCACCTCTGCACCGCACAGCCGCAGTGCCGCACCTCTGCACCGCACAGCCGCAGTGCCGCACCTCTGCACCGCACAGCCGCAGTGCCGCACCTCTGCACCGCACAGCCGCAGTGCCGCACCTCTGCACCGCACAGCCGCAGTGCCGCACCTCTGCACCGCACAGCCGCAGTGCCGCACCTCTGCACCGCACAGCCGCAGTGCCGCACCTCTGCACCGCACAGCCGCAGTGCCGCACCTCTGCACCGCACAGCCGCAGTGCCGCACCTCTGCACCGCACAGCCGCAGTGCCGCACCTCTGCACCGCACAGCCGCAGTGCCGCACCTCTGCACCGCACAGCCGCAGTGCCGCACCTCTGCACCGCACAGCCGCAGTGCCGCACCTCTGCACCGCACAGCCGCAGTGCCGCACCTCTGCACCGCACAGCCGCAGTGCCGCACCTCTGCACCGCACAGCCGCAGTGCCGCACCTCTGCACCGCACAGCCGCAGTGCCGCACCTCTGCACCGCACAGCCGCAGTGCCGCACCTCTGCACCGCACAGCCGCAGTGCCGCACCTCTGCACCGCACAGCCGCAGTGCCGCACCTCTGCACCGCACAGCCGCAGTGCCGCACCTCTGCACCGCACAGCCGCAGTGCCGCACCTCTGCACCGCACAGCCGCAGTGCCGCACCTCTGCACCGCACAGCCGCAGTGCCGCACCTCTGCACCGCACAGCCGCAGTGCCGCACCTCTGCACCGCACAGCCGCAGTGCCGCACCTCTGCACCGCACAGCCGCAGTGCCGCACCTCTGCACCGCACAGCCGCAGTGCCGCACCTCTGCACCGCACAGCCGCAGTGCCGCACCTCTGCACCGCACAGCCGCAGTGCCGCACCTCTGCACCGCACAGCCGCAGTGCCGCACCTCTGCACCGCACAGCCGCAGTGCCGCACCTCTGCACCGCACAGCCGCAGTGCCGCACCTCTGCACCGCACAGCCGCAGTGCCGCACCTCTGCACCGCACAGCCGCAGTGCCGCACCTCTGCACCGCACAGCCGCAGTGCCGCACCTCTGCACCGCACAGCCGCAGTGCCGCACCTCTGCACCGCACAGCCGCAGTGCCGCACCTCTGCACCGCACAGCCGCAGTGCCGCACCTCTGCACCGCACAGCCGCAGTGCCGCACCTCTGCACCGCACAGCCGCAGTGCCGCACCTCTGCACCGCACAGCCGCAGTGCCGCACCTCTGCACCGCACAGCCGCAGTGCCGCACCTCTGCACCGCACAGCCGCAGTGCCGCACCTCTGCACCGCACAGCCGCAGTGCCGCACCTCTGCACCGCACAGCCGCAGTGCCGCACCTCTGCACCGCACAGCCGCAGTGCCGCACCTCTGCACCGCACAGCCGCAGTGCCGCACCTCTGCACCGCACAGCCGCAGTGCCGCACCTCTGCACCGCACAGCCGCAGTGCCGCACCTCTGCACCGCACAGCCGCAGTGCCGCACCTCTGCACCGCACAGCCGCAGTGCCGCACCTCTGCACCGCACAGCCGCAGTGCCGCACCTCTGCACCGCACAGCCGCAGTGCCGCACCTCTGCACCGCACAGCCGCAGTGCCGCACCTCTGCACCGCACAGCCGCAGTGCCGCACCTCTGCACCGCACAGCCGCAGTGCCGCACCTCTGCACCGCACAGCCGCAGTGCCGCACCTCTGCACCGCACAGCCGCAGTGCCGCACCTCTGCACCGCACAGCCGCAGTGCCGCACCTCTGCACCGCACAGCCGCAGTGCCGCACCTCTGCACCGCACAGCCGCAGTGCCGCACCTCTGCACCGCACAGCCGCAGTGCCGCACCTCTGCACCGCACAGCCGCAGTGCCGCACCTCTGCACCGCACAGCCGCAGTGCCGCACCTCTGCACCGCACAGCCGCAGTGCCGCACCTCTGCACCGCACAGCCGCAGTGCCGCACCTCTGCACCGCACAGCCGCAGTGCCGCACCTCTGCACCGCACAGCCGCAGTGCCGCACCTCTGCACCGCACAGCCGCAGTGCCGCACCTCTGCACCGCACAGCCGCAGTGCCGCACCTCTGCACCGCACAGCCGCAGTGCCGCACCTCTGCACCGCACAGCCGCAGTGCCGCACCTCTGCACCGCACAGCCGCAGTGCCGCACCTCTGCACCGCACAGCCGCAGTGCCGCACCTCTGCACCGCACAGCCGCAGTGCCGCACCTCTGCACCGCACAGCCGCAGTGCCGCACCTCTGCACCGCACAGCCGCAGTGCCGCACCTCTGCACCGCACAGCCGCAGTGCCGCACCTCTGCACCGCACAGCCGCAGTGCCGCACCTCTGCACCGCACAGCCGCAGTGCCGCACCTCTGCACCGCACAGCCGCAGTGCCGCACCTCTGCACCGCACAGCCGCAGTGCCGCACCTCTGCACCGCACAGCCGCAGTGCCGCACCTCTGCACCGCACAGCCGCAGTGCCGCACCTCTGCACCGCACAGCCGCAGTGCCGCACCTCTGCACCGCACAGCCGCAGTGCCGCACCTCTGCACCGCACAGCCGCAGTGCCGCACCTCTGCACCGCACAGCCGCAGTGCCGCACCTCTGCACCGCACAGCCGCAGTGCCGCACCTCTGCACCGCACAGCCGCAGTGCCGCACCTCTGCACCGCACAGCCGCAGTGCCGCACCTCTGCACCGCACAGCCGCAGTGCCGCACCTCTGCACCGCACAGCCGCAGTGCCGCACCTCTGCACCGCACAGCCGCAGTGCCGCACCTCTGCACCGCACAGCCGCAGTGCCGCACCTCTGCACCGCACAGCCGCAGTGCCGCACCTCTGCACCGCACAGCCGCAGTGCCGCACCTCTGCACCGCACAGCCGCAGTGCCGCACCTCTGCACCGCACAGCCGCAGTGCCGCACCTCTGCACCGCACAGCCGCAGTGCCGCACCTCTGCACCGCACAGCCGCAGTGCCGCACCTCTGCACCGCACAGCCGCAGTGCCGCACCTCTGCACCGCACAGCCGCAGTGCCGCACCTCTGCACCGCACAGCCGCAGTGCCGCACCTCTGCACCGCACAGCCGCAGTGCCGCACCTCTGCACCGCACAGCCGCAGTGCCGCACCTCTGCACCGCACAGCCGCAGTGCCGCACCTCTGCACCGCACAGCCGCAGTGCCGCACCTCTGCACCGCACAGCCGCAGTGCCGCACCTCTGCACCGCACAGCCGCAGTGCCGCACCTCTGCACCGCACAGCCGCAGTGCCGCACCTCTGCACCGCACAGCCGCAGTGCCGCACCTCTGCACCGCACAGCCGCAGTGCCGCACCTCTGCACCGCACAGCCGCAGTGCCGCACCTCTGCACCGCACAGCCGCAGTGCCGCACCTCTGCACCGCACAGCCGCAGTGCCGCACCTCTGCACCGCACAGCCGCAGTGCCGCACCTCTGCACCGCACAGCCGCAGTGCCGCACCTCTGCACCGCACAGCCGCAGTGCCGCACCTCTGCACCGCACAGCCGCAGTGCCGCACCTCTGCACCGCACAGCCGCAGTGCCGCACCTCTGCACCGCACAGCCGCAGTGCCGCACCTCTGCACCGCACAGCCGCAGTGCCGCACCTCTGCACCGCACAGCCGCAGTGCCGCACCTCTGCACCGCACAGCCGCAGTGCCGCACCTCTGCACCGCACAGCCGCAGTGCCGCACCTCTGCACCGCACAGCCGCAGTGCCGCACCTCTGCACCGCACAGCCGCAGTGCCGCACCTCTGCACCGCACAGCCGCAGTGCCGCACCTCTGCACCGCACAGCCGCAGTGCCGCACCTCTGCACCGCACAGCCGCAGTGCCGCACCTCTGCACCGCACAGCCGCAGTGCCGCACCTCTGCACCGCACAGCCGCAGTGCCGCACCTCTGCACCGCACAGCCGCAGTGCCGCACCTCTGCACCGCACAGCCGCAGTGCCGCACCTCTGCACCGCACAGCCGCAGTGCCGCACCTCTGCACCGCACAGCCGCAGTGCCGCACCTCTGCACCGCACAGCCGCAGTGCCGCACCTCTGCACCGCACAGCCGCAGTGCCGCACCTCTGCACCGCACAGCCGCAGTGCCGCACCTCTGCACCGCACAGCCGCAGTGCCGCACCTCTGCACCGCACAGCCGCAGTGCCGCACCTCTGCACCGCACAGCCGCAGTGCCGCACCTCTGCACCGCACAGCCGCAGTGCCGCACCTCTGCACCGCACAGCCGCAGTGCCGCACCTCTGCACCGCACAGCCGCAGTGCCGCACCTCTGCACCGCACAGCCGCAGTGCCGCACCTCTGCACCGCACAGCCGCAGTGCCGCACCTCTGCACCGCACAGCCGCAGTGCCGCACCTCTGCACCGCACAGCCGCAGTGCCGCACCTCTGCACCGCACAGCCGCAGTGCCGCACCTCTGCACCGCACAGCCGCAGTGCCGCACCTCTGCACCGCACAGCCGCAGTGCCGCACCTCTGCACCGCACAGCCGCAGTGCCGCACCTCTGCACCGCACAGCCGCAGTGCCGCACCTCTGCACCGCACAGCCGCAGTGCCGCACCTCTGCACCGCACAGCCGCAGTGCCGCACCTCTGCACCGCACAGCCGCAGTGCCGCACCTCTGCACCGCACAGCCGCAGTGCCGCACCTCTGCACCGCACAGCCGCAGTGCCGCACCTCTGCACCGCACAGCCGCAGTGCCGCACCTCTGCACCGCACAGCCGCAGTGCCGCACCTCTGCACCGCACAGCCGCAGTGCCGCACCTCTGCACCGCACAGCCGCAGTGCCGCACCTCTGCACCGCACAGCCGCAGTGCCGCACCTCTGCACCGCACAGCCGCAGTGCCGCACCTCTGCACCGCACAGCCGCAGTGCCGCACCTCTGCACCGCACAGCCGCAGTGCCGCACCTCTGCACCGCACAGCCGCAGTGCCGCACCTCTGCACCGCACAGCCGCAGTGCCGCACCTCTGCACCGCACAGCCGCAGTGCCGCACCTCTGCACCGCACAGCCGCAGTGCCGCACCTCTGCACCGCACAGCCGCAGTGCCGCACCTCTGCACCGCACAGCCGCAGTGCCGCACCTCTGCACCGCACAGCCGCAGTGCCGCACCTCTGCACCGCACAGCCGCAGTGCCGCACCTCTGCACCGCACAGCCGCAGTGCCGCACCTCTGCACCGCACAGCCGCAGTGCCGCACCTCTGCACCGCACAGCCGCAGTGCCGCACCTCTGCACCGCACAGCCGCAGTGCCGCACCTCTGCACCGCACAGCCGCAGTGCCGCACCTCTGCACCGCACAGCCGCAGTGCCGCACCTCTGCACCGCACAGCCGCAGTGCCGCACCTCTGCACCGCACAGCCGCAGTGCCGCACCTCTGCACCGCACAGCCGCAGTGCCGCACCTCTGCACCGCACAGCCGCAGTGCCGCACCTCTGCACCGCACAGCCGCAGTGCCGCACCTCTGCACCGCACAGCCGCAGTGCCGCACCTCTGCACCGCACAGCCGCAGTGCCGCACCTCTGCACCGCACAGCCGCAGTGCCGCACCTCTGCACCGCACAGCCGCAGTGCCGCACCTCTGCACCGCACAGCCGCAGTGCCGCACCTCTGCACCGCACAGCCGCAGTGCCGCACCTCTGCACCGCACAGCCGCAGTGCCGCACCTCTGCACCGCACAGCCGCAGTGCCGCACCTCTGCACCGCACAGCCGCAGTGCCGCACCTCTGCACCGCACAGCCGCAGTGCCGCACCTCTGCACCGCACAGCCGCAGTGCCGCACCTCTGCACCGCACAGCCGCAGTGCCGCACCTCTGCACCGCACAGCCGCAGTGCCGCACCTCTGCACCGCACAGCCGCAGTGCCGCACCTCTGCACCGCACAGCCGCAGTGCCGCACCTCTGCACCGCACAGCCGCAGTGCCGCACCTCTGCACCGCACAGCCGCAGTGCCGCACCTCTGCACCGCACAGCCGCAGTGCCGCACCTCTGCACCGCACAGCCGCAGTGCCGCACCTCTGCACCGCACAGCCGCAGTGCCGCACCTCTGCACCGCACAGCCGCATGTTAAGCCTCCCTGTACTCTGCTCCCCTCTCCCTGCACTCTCTTTGCTCCCCTCACCATCTCCCCGAATCCCTCCCCCCTTGCTGCCTGCAGCTGCTGCTCTGGACCGTGCCTCTCCAAGCCTCTGCCTGCTGCGCCTCTTTGGCCAGCAGCACTGAGGAGCCACGCCACGTGGCACCCTCCCATAGGCTGGGTGGCCACGAGGGGTCGATCTACCGAGTGGTGTGGCAAGAGGAGAGTGACAGGGGGTGTTGGGGGGAAGATGGGGATGAAGGGGGAGAGGGCAGGAACGGAGGAGGAGGAGAGGGTGGGGAGGATTCAAGAGAGGAAGGCGCTGAGAGCTTCACACTGATCTCAGTTTCGGACGACCGCAGGCAAGCAGGGGTGTGTTCAAGCAGGGGTGTGTTCAAGCAGGGGTGTGTTCAAGCAGGGGTGTGTTCAAGCAGGGGTGTGTTGAAGCAGGGGTCACAAAACTGTGTCTCTCTGCTTCTTAACTAGCTTTTTCTTCCAAACCGCTAATCAGTGTCAGCTCGGTTGTTCTGAGGGCTTTTTCTCCTACCGCCTGCTTGTCCCCCTGCAGTGCGCGTGTGTGGCGTGTCACCATGCCTGCCAGGGCAGCGCACGCGGGCAGCTGTGAGGAGGAGCAGTCGTCACGTAGGGGGTGCGGTGCAGGCACGGTGGAGTGCACTGCAGCGCACAGGGTGCTGTTCGGCCACGGGGCTCGCCTCTGGGATGCTCATCTCGACTCCCAGGTCATGCCCTGTCCCCTTGTCCCCTTGCCCCCTTGCCCCCTTGCCCCCCTGCCCCCCTGCCCCCCTCCCCCCCTGCCCCTTTGCCCTCTGTCTTTCCTGTCCGCTACAGCCACCCCAGTCCCCCTTCCCAGCCACCCCAGTGCACTGCAGTGCCCCCCTTCTCTGTTTCTCAGCACCCTCTCTTCCCACACCCTTCATGAGCCGGCCCACACCAACACCATTGCACCATCACGCCCATGCCCCCGCGCCCCCATGCCCCCATGCCGCCACACGCCCACGTGGCCCCCCCGCATCCTCCCCCCACGGTGGCAGGTGGCAGTGACGGTGAGTGAGGACTGCACGGCGCGTGTGTGGGGCATTGAAGATGGCCGCCTGCTCGCACTCATCCCCGCGCACCAGTGAGCACTCATCCCCGCGCACCAGTGAGCCCTCATCCCCGCGCACCAGTGAGCCCTCATCCCCGCGCACCAGTGAGCACTCATCCAATAACAAAGGTATTCGTTGCAAGAATCAACACCCATCCACACACACGCTTCTCTAACCATGAGCGCACACCCATTTCTCGCAAATCCACCACAATCACTTCGTTTCCTTTCTCTGTGCCGATATCTCATGCTGCCTCCCTCCCACCCTGCCCATCAACCACCCATGCGTGCATGCACGAGCAGGGGGCGGGGCATATGGCGGTGTGTGGTGCACCCCCCCACGCGCACGCTCATCACAGGGGGGGCGGACGCCGCCATCAACCTGCACGCCCTCCCCGCCCTCCCCTCCCCCCTGCCCTCCCCACACGCCCTCCCCTCCACCGTGCCCGCGGCCCTGTCATGGCACCCACCTCTGGACGCGCTGCTGCTGCGCGTCACGCCCACCGCTGCCCTCACAGGCCACAGCATCGCCCTCGCCACTGCTGCTGCCGCCGCTGGCGCTCTGACAGAGGGGGAGGCAGGGGTGGAGGGGGACACTGGTCGCAAGGATAGGTGGGTCAGCCTGACATGCCCGTGCTACTCGTTGCACCATCACATGCCCGTGCTACTCGTTGCACCATCACATGCCCGTGCTACTTGTTGCACCATCACATGCCCGTGCTACTTGTTGCACCATCACATGCCCGTGCTACTTGTTGCACCATCACATGCCTGTTCCATGCCCATCAGCTTGCCTTGTCCCCCCTCATCAACACACCCCCCCATGGTTGCTCCCTCCCTCCCACCACCGCATCCAACTCCCCCCCTCTCGCCCCAGCAGCAAGAGCGAGTTCATCCGCTGCATGGCGCTGGCCTCGCCTCACCTGCTGCTCCTCGCCACCAACCACGGCGCGCTGCTCCTCCTCCGCCTCCCCGCCTCCCCCTCCTCCCCCTGCCCCGCCCCCATTGTCCTCCTGCCCGCCGCCCCACCGTCCCCGTCCCATGCTTCCCGCGGGCCAATTGTGTGCCTCCACGTGGAAAGGGAGGAAGGGAGTGCAGAAGAGGAGGAGAAGGAGGAGGAGGGAAGAAAGGAATCTGGAGAAGCAGGGCAGGGGAGGGAGAGGGAGGGGCGGTGGCGGGTGGTGTGTGGGTTCGGCATGGGGCAGGCTGTGGCGCTCTCCCTCTCTCTTTGGGTCCTGGCCCCCCGCCCCATGCATGCAAGCAGGGAAGGGGATGGGGAGGGTGGAGGCCATGGGGGGAAACAAGGGGCGGAAGGTGCAGCTGAGGAAGGGGGGCAAGGGGGAGTGGCAGGGGAGGGAGGGCGGGCAAGTGAGTTGGGGGAGGTGGAGGTCCATTGGTGGAGTGAGTGGGAGGCACACCAGGCAAGGCGGCTTCTTGGAACCTTCTGGTGCCGCAGCCTGAGTGACAGGTGCGTGTGAGGGAACAATGGAGACATGGTGCATGGTACGTTCTCCTCACCATCCCTCTCACCATTCTTCCTCCTCACCCTCCATCCCTCCTCACCGCATCGCCCAGTGCCCACCTCCTCACCAACCATCAGGCATGTCTTCACAACGGACCCAGCGGGCGGCGTTGTTTGGTGGCACTTGGACGACACTGCACCGCCACCTGCCCCCTCCACCTGCCCTCTCGCACTTGACACTGTTCACCTGACCGGGCGGCAGCTGCCGGCCACAGCAGTTGCGAGGATCCAATCACCGGGCGGCGCGCGGGTGGTGTGCTTGGATGCATGCCCTCACAGCAAGGTACCCGCCATCGTGCCCTCCTCTCCTCCCATGTGTCACACAATCCCCCATCTCTCGCTTTCACTTCCTCTGCTTCTCTCCCACCCACGCCGCCCCTCCCATCACCCCCTTCTTCGCCCTTTCCCACCCCCTTTCGGTCCCCCGTCCCCCCCCCCCCCCCCCTCATCACGTCCCATGTGCCGCCCGGCCGGCAGCTGCTAGCGCTGGGCGACCAGAGGGGGCACCTCTACCTCTACCGCTTCTCCTTCTCCGCCTCTGCTGCCAGCCGTCCAGTGGCGGACTGCCACGTGGCAGCAGTGCTCAAGGGGGCGCATGGCATATCTGCAGTGGCGAGTGTGACAATAGAGGGGGCAGCAGGCATGGGCGCAGCTGCAGCGTCGCTTGGCTTCACTGCCCTCATCCACACGGTGTGTGCCATGCCTGCTGTGCATTGCAATGACCATTGTGTGTGTACGCGATTCTTGCCTATATGGCCGTTTGTGGGTTTTATTTATGCCAGATGCAACCCCACTATTGCGTGCCATTGTGTTTACGCCATCACCTCACCTCATGCACTGCCGTTCATGCTCCCCTCCGCCCATCCGCCCATCCTCACCGCGCCAGACCGGCAGGGACGGCTGTATCTGCACCTTTGCCCTGCGCTCCCCACGCCCCTCCCGTGCCAGCACGTCAGCTGCGAATGGGGAACCTGTGGGACACACGGGCACAGGTCTCGTGCGTGGGAATGAAGGAACTGTGGGGCATACAGGCACGGCACAGTTGCTTGGCAGTGAGGGGGGTGGCGTGCAGCAGGCGGGGGGCGAGACGGGCATGCAGGAAAGGGGGGGGCAGCAGGGTGGAGTGGTGTGTGTGGGCGTGCAGCGAGCTGGGGAGGTGGGCATGGTAGAGTGCGTGGTGCGGGTGAGGGCGGGGCAAGGAGGGCGCACAGGAAGGGTGGCGGTGGGGTTTGCAGCAGCGGACTTTGTGGTGTGGAGTGTGGACGAGCAGGCAGAGGTGCGTGGGGCTCCTTTGACCCAAGGCCGGATCTGCGAACCCTTCCCAACCACCCCTGCTCCGAACCAAACCTTTCATTTCTTTCTCTTCCACCCCATCTTGGATATCCCACACTACAGCCCTCCCACCCACTTCTATATCCCACCCTATGGCACTCCCACCCCGCGGTCAGATGGCGCGCATAGCGTGTGGGGGATGGCGCCGCCCGCACGCCTTCCTCATCGATGCCCACTGCATGGGGTCCTTCGCCTTCGCCTTCCTCAAGGTGCCGCCATGCCCTTCCCTGCCACGCCACGCCACGTGATGCCCTGCCCTGCCATGGCCATGGGTTGGTCTGTAGTGGTGCATGGGTTGCGCCTTAGTGTCACACTGCAGCACAGCAACGTCTGCTACCACATCCTGCCTCTCACCCCTCATTGCCCTTCTTGCCCCATGCCCCAATGTCCCCATGCCCCATCCCCCCGTTCTCCTTCCACCCATGCCCCCATGCCCCCATGCCCCCATGCTCCCATGCCCCATGCCCCCATGCCCCATGCCCCATGCCCCATGCCCCCATGCCCCCATGCCCCCATGCCCCCATGCCCCATGCCCCATGCCCCATGCCCCATGCCCCATGCCCCATGCCCCATGCCCCCATGCCCCATCCGCCCATTCCCCATGCCCCATGCCCCCATGCCCCATCCGCCCATGCCCCATGCCCCATGCCCCATGACCCATCCGCCCATGCCCCCATCTCCATTCTCCCATACCCCCATGCCCCACACCCACCAGGGCAACCATGTGCACATCCACCGCACCTCACCTGCCGCCACACACTCCGCCCTGCCCTCCCCGCACACGCCTCCCACCCTGCCCCCTTCCTCTCTGCATCCCACCTTCCACGGTCGTGAGCTGCACTCGCTCGCCCTCCTGCCTCTGCCTCCGCTCCCCTCGCCCCATACCCGCACCCCTTCCTCCCCCTGCGCCTCAACTTCACCCCCCTCCCGGCCCTGCTCCTCTCTGCTGCTCTCTGCGGCTGAGGATGGCTGCCTGCGCGCCTCCATGTGAGTGATGCACTTTTGAGGCTTCTCAAAGAAGGGGGCATGGAGTCACATAGGTAACGTGGGCGCGCAGTGGGAGCGGACTGGGTTGCAATCTCGCTGCACCTGTCTTCGGGAATTGCAAGCTCCGTCTCTTTTTCTGCATGCCTCTTGTTCGGAATTCCTGACTAGCACACTCCACCTCCCTAGCCCCACCCCCCCCTCACACGTCCCCCTGTGCCACCCACGCAGGTACGACCCTGCAGATGAGGGGAGCGGAGGGGGGCTGGAGGGCAGTGAGCGGGTGGGAGAGCACGTGGGGGGCAGCGCCATCAGAGCCATTGCCACGTGCGCTGCAGAGGGCAGCAGCACCTGTGATGGGGGTGGTGGTGGTGGTGGGGATTGTGCCCCCTCGTCATGGCTTGTGTTCACGGCTGGAGCGCGCGAGGTGCTCATGTGCTGGCTGCTGCTCTGCCCAGACCCGCCCCCTCTGCCTGCGGCCCCATGCCATGGCCCTGTCCGTCCTTCCACACACACGGGGCAGCAGAGAGGGCAAGAGGAGGTGAAGACGGAGGGGGAGCAGCAGACGGTTGGGAGGGAGGAGGTGGGAAGCAGAGCCGAGGGATGGGAAAATGTGTTTCTGAAAGGAGCGCAAAGGAGCAAGGCCGAAGGGGGGGGTGGAGCACAGGCAAGAAGGGGGGAAGGAGGAACGGATGGGCGGCAAGTTTTGTCGTTTTGGTTGAGCACACACCGGCCAGATAAAAAGCGAGTGGTGCCATGTGGTGGTGGCAGCAGTGGCAGCAGCAGCATGGAGGACGATGTGCGGTACCTGAGCGTAACCGCGTTCTCATTCGGCAGCTTCTCCCAACGGTGGGTCCTCTCAACTCAAGCCCGTGCATGCACTCACGGGTACTCACCCCATGCTGCTTTGCCTGCCACTCCTCTTCCTCGTGCCACCACTGCTGGGCCTTCAAGCCTGTCACCCTCCCTCTGTCAACCCCCCCACCCCACTCCCCACCCCCCCTCCACTCTCCCCCCTCTTCCTTGTCCCCATCCCTGCCCGCCACCCTACCCATCCCAGCTCGCTGGTGGCGGTGGTGGTAGCGGCGACATCAGACGCGCAGCTGCACCTGCTGGCATTCCACGCGCCCTCCCTCTCCTGGCACCGCCTCGCCGCCCTCCACCACCACACCTGCCCCGTCCTCTCCCTGCACCACCTCCTCCTCCCCTCCCCCCCTGCCCACACTACCACCTCCCCCTCGCCTGCTGCCCCCACCACTGACCCCTCGTCCTCGTTGCCCGCTCTCCCGCGCTGCCTCATCACCAGCGGTGCCACGGACGGCACTGTTGTGCTCTGGGATGTCACCGCCCCTGTCACCCAATTCCTGCACGCCACGTGGCATGCTGCCTCGCATCTTCCCCCACTCTTCCCCTCATCATTATCAACACCAACAGCATCAGCAGGTGCAGCAGGGGGCAGTAGATTGGGGGCAGTGCGGCCGGTGAGTGGGCGGGGCAGTGAGGGGGGGCAGCGCAGGAGGAATGCACGCTGGCACTTGCAGGGTGGGGGGAAGGGGCACAGGCAGGGACAAGGGCAGGGGCAGGGACAAGGGGGAGAGAGGTCTGGTGGCAGCGAGGTTGGGGAACAACATGAGCGGGAGGAGGAGCGGCAGATGGGGGTGCGAAAGGCGGGAGGGGAGGAGGCAGAGCGAGAAGGCGAGGGACGGAGCGATGTTGGTTCTGAACAGAAGGCTGTTGGGACAGTGGGGGGCGGGGGAGATCAGGGAGGGGCAGGTGATGGGGAGGAGAGAGGGGAGGGGGAGGAAGGTTCAGAAGGTACGGGAGGTGAGGAGAAGCAGCAAGGGCGAGCAGAGGCGCAGGGGTGGGCGGGTGTGGACGTGGGTCCCCTGTGTGTGGTGAGGGGCGCCCACCAGTCGGGTGTCAACTGCATTGCCGCTGCTGCCACCGCCACGGCAGGGAGGGGCCACTGGCAGGGCCAAGACACGCGAGCGGATGGGGGGAATGGGGGGAATGGGGGGAATGGGGGGGATGGGGTCGATGGGGTGGAAGACGGCGCGGTGAGGGGCGTGGGGGCGGCGCATGTGGTGGTGGTGAGTGGCGGGGACGACGAGGCGGTGCATGCTGTGGTGCTGCTCCTGGACTGCATGGACGCCGAGCACAGCGCGCACACAGCACGTTCCGAGGGGCTGCGCGCAGAGGAGGGGGGGGAGGGGGGAAGGGACGAGGGAGGGAGGGGAATGGTGGCTCGAGTGGTGGCGCGGACATGTGAACCCAATGCTCACTCCGCTGCTGTCAAAGGTAACACCACTCGTGCCCATCACGTTGTTGCTGTCAGTGAGCCATGTGGCATCCTCTTTGCCAACCAGCAGTTTCAACCAGCAGGTTTGGCATCAGCAACCGTTTCAACCTCTTGTCCCGATCCCTTACCCCTGCTCCTCCACACCATGGCATGCCTCGCCATGCCACACCATGCCACCCCACACCACCCCGCGCCATGCCACCCCACACCACCCCGTGCCATGCCACCCCCCACCACCCCGTGCCATGCCACCCCACGGCAGGCATCTGGACGGATGGGCAGGCGGTGCTGTCTGTGGGGCTGGACCAGCGCCTGCGCTGCTGGTCCCTCTCCTCCAATCACCACGCGCCACGTGGCAAGGCAGGCGGTGCCGAGGCAGCTGCAGAAGGGAGATGCAGCGAGGAGGGGCAGAGGGGCGAGAGGGGGTGTGCAGGAGAGGAGGGAGGGGAGGGCGTGGAGGGGAGCAGGTGGGATGCGGGGAAGGTGGCGTGTGGGGCGGGGCAGGCAGGGGCGGGTGTGGATGGGATAGGGGAGGGTGGGATGCGGTTGGAGGGCAGGGGGCGGTGTGTGGTGGATGTGCCCGAGGCAGAGGGGCTGGCAGTGATGGGTCAAGGCAAGGGCAGGTGAGTGGCTCATGGTGTACGGGGAACCTGTCTTCTTGTTGCACACATGCATAACACGCCAAGGGATTGCGAGTTAGACCAAGGATTCGTGCCCTTGTGTTTGAATCCAACGCGTGTGTGCTTCAGGTACCTGGCAGCGGTGTGTGGCCGAGGCATGCAACTCATTCACTGCACCGAGTCGGCGCCTTGACTTGACAAGTGCAAATGCACTCGCTGTTGCTCAACCAGTGTAGCATGCCTTTAGGACGATCGTCCATTATGAGAACGTTCATCATTTCCTGTTGTGAGCTCATCAGCTTAGTGAACCTTTCTCACATGATCGCATCCAGCAGAAGTTTTTAGCACCATAGGTTAAGGTTAGACACTATGGCAGCATACCATACATCTAATACATTGTGCCGCTGCACCCCATGCTGTGAACCTAGCCATCCTGCATGGACGCCTCTCCTCCACTGCCCACGGCCTGCCGCACAGCCTCTTTGATCTGCTGAGCCAGGCGGCGGTGCCCCTCCTCCCGCAGCGCTGCCCGGTACTTCTTATCCACAAAGATCCTCTTGCCGTCCACCCCAGGGCAGGGGAAGTACCACAGCCGCACGGTGTACCCACACGCGTGCGCCACGGCGGGGTCTGCTTCTTTAATGCGGTGGTCCCGCCCCACCTCCCTGTGGCACCCGCACTGCCCCGTATCCACCTGCAACGCCTCCTGCAGCCGCCGCCGCTGCTGCACTGCCCCGTCCCCCACACCTCTCGTTTGCTGCTGCAGCACCCCCTTGCCCTGCACGGGCAGCTCAGCTCCCTCCCCTGCCGCACCCTCCCCTGCCACACAGTCCTGTGTGCTCGAGTTACTGAAGCTGCTGCCTGCACGGCACTCCACATTCAGCAAGCGCCGACCTCGCTCCTGTTCTTGCTGCCGCCCTTCCTTCTCCTCCTTGCGCTCCTCCCTCCGCCTCTTCAGCTCCTCCTGCTTCTGCCGCCGCCGCTGCTCCATCTGCTGGCGGCGGCGCTGTGTGTGCTCCTCCTCAAAGCGCCCTGTGCCGCACACGCGGTCGATCAGCTCCAGCTTGTTGTCTCGCCCGTACGCCATGCCTGCCGGACATGGGTATGAGGCATGGGCATATGGAACATGGGAGATGAGGCGCACACACGCGGTCGATCAGCTCCAGCTTGTTGTCTCGCCCGTATGCCATGCCTGCCATGCACAGGTGCGTACGGCAGGGGCGCAGGGGCAGGGCACGGGGGCATGGGGCATGGGTCATGAGCATGGAGCACGGGGCATGGGGCTGCTCGCATGGCGTGCAAGAGCGGTGGGTGCTCACCCTCGGTGTAGCGGTGAGGCGAGTCGTTGCGGAAGGCGACTTGGCTCTCCCACATCTGCGGGGCGAAGCGCTGCAGCCCGTGGAAGCGCGTGCGTGATGCCAGCCAGCGCGGCGACTGCTCCTCGTGCACCCGGTACATGGGCACCTGGGGGGACAGGGGCAAGGGGGCAGGGGACAGGGCGCAGGGGAGCGGGGAGCAGCACAAGGACGGAATGTGAATGAGGTGCCGCATAGGGCACGCGCCAGCACATGTTACACGACAAACACGGGAGCACAGGTGTCACGGGGAGCGGCGGCGTAGCGAACCCTGGTTGATAAAAAGGAAAGGTGCAGCACATGTTACACAACAAATTCCCATGCGCACACCGTCTCACACCACACCCCACCACACTCAGCCGCACCTTAAAGAGCTTCAGCCCGGCCTTCTCATGCCTGAGGGCGGCGCGGCGGATGAGGTCCCAGGCGTGCGCGGTGATGAACTGGTTGCCGTCGAACGCCAGCACCCACCGCGCCCCTGCTGCCCTGCCGTGCTCCAATATGAAGTTGCGCGCCTCGTTCTGCGCTGCTCTGCCCCCCATGCCACGCCATGCCATGCCATGCCCATCAGATGCCCGCACGCCACACATGCCCCACATGCACCACATGCCACACATGCCCCACATGCACCACATGCCACCCATGCCCCACATGCACCACATGCCACCCATGCCCCACATGCACCACATGCAATGCCCACATGGCCATGCACGCATGAGCCATGGCATGCATACACATCAACCGCACAATGTGTGCAGCAAGCAGAGCACAATGTGCAGCTCGCACAGATGACAGCAGGGAAGAAAGGCACAGATGACAGCAGGGAAGAAAGGCACAGATGACAGCAGGGAAGAAAGGCACAGATGACAGCAGGGAAGAAAGGCACAGATGACAGCAGGGAAGAAAGGCACAGATGACAGCAGGGAAGAAAGGCACAGATGACAGCAGGGAAGAAAGGCACAGATGACAGCAGGGAAGAAAGGCACAGATGACAGCAGGGAAGAAAGGCACAGATGACAGCAGGGAAGAAAGGCACAGATGACAGCAGGGAAGAAAGGCACAGATGACAGCAGGGAAGAAAGGCACAGATGACAGCAGGGAAGAAAGGCACAGATGACAGCAGGGAAGAAAGGCACAGATGACAGCAGGGAAGAAAGGCACAGATGACAGCAGGGAAGAAAGGCACAGATGACAGCAGGGAAGAAAGGCACAGATGACAGCAGGGAAGAAAGGCACAGATGACAGCAGGGAAGAAAGACAGGCGCGGACATGATCACGTGACACGCTGTGATGGAAGGTTAGGGCGGGATGCAATGATGGGGGGTTAACACCTGTGACAGCCTCAGTCAACGCCTCACCTGTGACAGCCTCGGTCAACGCCTCACCTGTGACAGCCTCGGTCAACGCCTCACCTGTGACAGCCTCGGTCAACGCCTCACCTGTGACAGCCTCGGTCCAGGAGGTCTCAGGAAGGGTGGCGATGTGCGAGAAGTTGATCCGACGGACAAGAATGTCCTGCACGGCGAGAGGAGGCGGGAGAGGAGTGGGGGGAGATGAGTGAGGAGAGTGGGGGGAAAGAGAGGAAAGGGGGGGAGAGAGGAGGGGGAACAAGGAACGGGCAAAGAGGAAGGGGGAGAGAGGAGGGAGGAAAGAGGAGTGAGGAAAGAGGAAGGGGGAATCGAGGAAGGGGGAATCGAGGAAGAAAAAGAGGGGGAATGAAAGAGGCAGGAAGGGGCATGGAGCTAGGAGCAACAGCAGGTGCCATCCCCCTCTCCCGCATCACACTGTTTTCTCCCTGCGCCCCCCTGTGCGCCCCCATGTGCGCCCCCCTGTGCGCCCCATGCGCCCCCCTGCGCGCCCCCCTGCGCCCCCCATGCGCCCCCCTGTGCGCCCCCCTGCGGCCCCCATGCGCGCACCTGTGGCGCCACGCCGTGCGCGAGCAGCGCGTCCAGCAGCAGCGCGCGCTCCGTGCCGTTCACCACGTGGTTCAGTACCCACAGCCGCCGGCACTCGCGCAGCGCGCGCGCCTCGTGCTGTAGCGCGTACAGCGTGTTGCGGAGTAGCTGCCCCGCGCACTGCAGCGGCGCCATGTTGTTGCCGATCAGCCGGTACAGGAAGAACCGCGCCGTCTCTTGCGCCGTCTCTTGCGTCACTTGCGCCGTCTCTTGCGCGGGCGCTTGCGCCTCTGCTGTTGCCGCCGCTGCTCCCCGGGCGACCTCGCTAGCGTCATCCCCTTCCCTATCAACTCCCCTCGACCGATCTGCTTCGTAGAGATGAACCCCTTCCACTCCCGCCTCCGTGTCTACCCATTCAGTCTCGTGCGCCCCGTGCGCCATCTGCAGCCCCCGCGCCCCTCGCGCGCCGTGTGCGCCATCTGCCGAGCCGTTGCGACCGCCAGCTGCGGACCGGGGCGGCGGGAAGAGAGGCGAGAGGAGCGGGGCGCAGAGGGAGGAGGGGGAGGCGGAGAGAGCCCAGAGCGCGAGCAGCGCGAAGGCGACGGTGTAGGCGAGGAGCAGTACGAGGGGGGCACGCGGAGAGGTCGCAGAGGGCGCGGGTGCTTGGCATACATGGGCTCTTCGATGGTTCATGGCCGTTGGAAGTAGGCTTGGGCGAAGCAGTGTGCGGGAGGTGAAGAGGCCAGCTGAAAGGTGAGGGTACCGAGGTGCGCTTGTAATGGGGCCCTTCGGTCCATGTGCACCTACTACAATGATCTAACTCCAAACGTGATTGATTGTGAACTAGCGCGTCCTGAGTGTTATGAGTTGTGAGTTCTGCTAAAAAGGGTGTGAAGAATTAAATAACGGAAGTCTCTAAGGAAAATTCCTTTTGCGTCCCTGCTTACCGCGTACATAACCGTTCCCGCCATCAGCACCCATCCATGCACGTTACCCGTTTACGACACTCGCCTCGACCACGACTCCCGCCACTGTTCACGACGCGACCCAACCTAACGGTTCGGTTGGTAACCCGCGCTCCGGACCTCCGCCTCGACAATTCTCCAAACCTCGGCGCTAGGCCCGTAGCGCACCTCAATTTCCCACTTTACCGTTACCACTGTAGTTTCGCTATATATTCTTCGTTCATGCCTTCGCTCATTGTACTCTTGCTTCGATAGTGCAATTCTCGCTCGTTCACTAAATTGCATTCGTAACACTTGGTATTCAGAGCCTACGATCTCTTCTCGGACCGCACCCACACCTTCGCTTCCCCACTATCTCAATTTTTTGGGGGGGGTAGACGTCTCTCAGCGAACAAGCACCGCCGCTCGAAGTGCTCTCTCGAAAGCACGCACGGCCACGACCGAGGCTCTCGCTGAGCTTGCCCGACACCCCCGCCATGGCCGAATTTACTCTCGCGACACTGACGCAGGAGCAACTCGACCGTCTCGTGCGCCAAGTCGAGGATTCGGCGCTCGAAATTGCGACGCTCACGGCGGAACGTGACTCCGCGCGTCAGCAATCCACGGTGAATACTCCAGCACCACCACACGCACCTGCAAATGTACCCGCACAATCGGAGGAGCCGATCGTCATTTCATCCAGCACACCAACACAGAACAACAGCGTGGGACAGCTCTCAGGCGCAGCCAGTGATGACGCCGCTCACTCGATGCCTGGCATGGAAAGGAACAGGGTCACACCAAGCCCGCGGGAGCCTCGTGAAGCCCGTCGGCACGTGGAATTTGCGGCGACAAGTGGCGACCACGCCAGCATGGCACCAATGCCACTCAAGCCGCAGCGCCCGCCTTGCTTCGACCCGAGCCAACGTGGAGGTCCGACGGTTCAATCGTGGGTCTTCACGATGAACGTCTTCTTCGACGCGAACTACGTCGAGTCGGACGCAACGAAGATCAGATACGCCGTCTCGATGCTGAGGGGCCCTGCCATGGACTGGTGGCGAGTCATCGTGACGTCGCCACGCGCCTACGAGCCACCATCGCAAGAGGAAGGGCCCACGGGCCCAGCTGTCACCTGTAATTCATTCTGCGAAACCGCCCAATACAGCACGTGGGATGCGTGGTGCGCAGGGCTTCGGGCGCGCTTCGAGCCGATCGCGGCTTCTATTTCGGCGCGTCAGAAGCTGCGTACTTGGCGGCAGCTCGGATCGGTCCAAGACTACACGAGCGGTTTTCTCGCATTATGCGAGCAAGTCGGCTATATGCACGATGCGGAGCGGGTGGACCGTTACGTCGGAGGGCTAAAGCCGGACGTCTCGCACGAAATCATGCTACGCGGACTCTCGAATTTCAACGAGATTCTCGCGCTCGCCGAGAAAATCGACATTTTACGCTGTCCGAGACCAGGGTCCTACTACGGACATCGCCCTCGGGGACCAATCGAGCACGCCACTGTACACGCTGTTGCGACGAACGCAGCTGCCGCGCCGTTTAAGGGGCGCTGCTTCGCTTGCAATAGGCCGGGCCATCGTAAGAGTGAGTGCCCAGAGGAGCTGAGGCGCCGCGGAGCAGAGCAGGGGAGGGAGTCTTTAAGGCAGGGAAACGCCAGCAGTCAGTAGGAATCGGGCCAACTACTGACTGTGAAGATAGTAGGTAGAGTTAGGAGCCATAGCTAGGTAAGTCCTAGCTAGGCAAGAGAAGTTTAGGCAAAAAAGAGAGGAGTTCACTAGCAGCAATGAGGATACATATAGCAAACCCTAGATGGGTTGTACTCGCTATAGAGCACCCCACTACAGGCTAGAGAATAACATTCTGACACACCCCCATAGCCAAAGTGGGGTGTAATCAGTACAATGAGCAAGCAGGTATAGAGCAGGAGTTCACAAAGGTAAGCAAAGCTAGAGCTAATCGCAGCGGGCAAGTGAGGAGGAGGAGGAGCTGTGGAGGTAGAGAAGATGGGAGGCAACGACTGAAGCTGCAGAGGCACGGGCACAGGAGCGGCTGACTCAGAGGCTACCGAAGCAAGGGCAACGGACTACTGGAGTAACTGGCTCGGCGGCTATAGAAGAGCGGCAGGAGCAACGGACCCACTGGCGACTGGTGCAGCAGGCTCACTGGCTACCGAAGCAAGGGCGACGGACTACAGGCGCTGCAGGCGACACGACAGGTACCTCCACACAACCTCCTCCAACTGCCCCACACCCTCGACACACACCCACTGCTCAAACCCTAGCTCCACTCCCACGCACCCCCCTAAAACCCTAAACCCTAGGCTCCCACACACCCACCCCCCTCAGCGGCAGCTGCAGCAGTGGGAGACCAGGGAGGAGGAGGAGCAAGGGGAGTAACACACAACCGCCACCCCCACACTCCTCACCCCCAAACCCTAATTCAGGAGAACGGGCAGCAGCAGGGGTGGGGCACCGTCAGAAGCACGGGGGACAGCGAACAGCTCAGGGACAGAGAGGAACGGGCCGCCCACGGGCCTGGCACAGCCCGACGAACCGCGCGCAGGCGGCCCGAGCCGCGCGCGGGCCTGGCGTAGCCCGTACGGGCCGCGCGCGGGCCTGGCGCAGCCCGTACGGGCCGCGCGCGGGCCTGGCGCAGCCCGTACGGGCCGCGCGCGGGCCGGGCGCAGCCCGTACGGGCCGCGCTCGGGGCTAGCGCAGCCCGCGCTGGCCAGGACGGGCGACGGGGGACGACGGGCTGGTCCCCGTCGCCCGTCGAAGCGCCCCCCGGGGGCGACGCGCGGACCGACGGGGCAGAAGGCCGCCGCGCGCCTCGGGGCGCACGGCGGGCAGAGAACCGCCGCACGCCCCGGGGCGCACGGCGGGCAGAAAACCGCCGCGCGCCTCGGGGCGCACGGCGGGCAGAAAACCGCCGCACGCTCCGAGCGCGCGGCGGGAAGAGAAATCCGTCGCACGCCACGGGGCGTGCAACACACAGAGTAGCAGCGGAAGCAGTTAGGTGGGCCCACAGGCCAGGAGCGTAGATGCTCTGATACCATGTGAAGATAGTAGGTAGAGTTAGGAGCCATAGCTAGGTAAGTCCTAGCTAGGCAAGAGAAGTTTAGGCAAAAAAGAGAGGAGTTCACTAGTAGCAATGAGGATACATATAGCAAACCCTAGATGGGTTGTACTCGCTATAGAGCACCCCACTACAGGCTAGAGAATAACATTCTGACACTGACGAGACTGCCTGCTCGCCCAACCACACCGACCCTCACCGAGTCACAGTACCGATTCACGCTATCGATCGGGCTCGGATGAATAAGGAGGGTACAGCGACGGATTGCCCAGTACTGATTCACGAAAAAATACAGGGAGCAGCAGTGAAGATTTTTATCGACGGAGGCGCAAGTCACAGCTTAGTTAATACCGCGACCGCATGAAAACTGCAACTGACACTGAGTCGGTGTTTACCGGAGATAGACGCACGCTTAGTTGACGGCACACCAATGGCCATACGGGAAAAAGTGGAGAGAGTAAAGGTCCGCTGTGGGGGGAACTTCGGTTTTACACAGGAAATGCTCGCGACGACTCTGGATGGGCACGACATTTTACTGGGACGTGATTGGTTGCGACGGTATAACCCGCGAATTGACTGGACGACGGGTAGCTGCACTGTGCGAAGTAGCGGTAACTGGGTGTCGCTACCACGCTGGCAGTCGCCCGAGTCTTCAACGGTCCACGTCAACGCCATCACGATGAAACGGGCTGTCGCCGCTGGAGCTGACGTGTACGCAGTGGATATAGCATTGATAGGAGAAGCAGAGCAGCCGAGTGATTTTCAGAAACTGCTGACAGCGGTACCGCCCGAACTGCAGGAGCTATTGAAACGGTACCCGGGGATTTTTCCTGACGACTTATTGGAGGGACTGCCACCTCAGCGAGCACACGACCACCGCATAGAGTTAGAACCCGGGGCACAGCTAACCGTACAGCGACAGTTCAGACTGACACAGCCCGAGCTCGATGAGCCGAGGAAGCCGTTAGACTACCTGTTAGAGAAAAAATTCATCCGACCGAGCTCGTCACCGTTCGCCGCACCGATACTGTTCACACCGAAAAAAGACGGGGGGTTTCGCATGTGCATCGATTACAGAGCACTGAACCGGGTAACAGTCAAGTCACGATACCCCATTCCCCGCGCTGACGAACTGATCGACCAGCTGCGAACAGCACGGGTTTTTTCGAAAATAGATTTACGGGGAGGTTACCATCAGATTCGGGTCGAACCATCAGACTGCGCCAAGACAGCATTTAGGACTAGGTACGGGTCATTCGAGTACACCGTGATGCCATTCAGGTTGACCAACGCACCGGCAACATTTCAGATGACCATGAACGAGGCGTTTAGGCCACTTTTAGATTAATGCGTGATAGTTTACCTCGACGACATCCTAGTCTACAGTCGTGATAAGTAGCAGCATTTAGCAGATCTGGAAGCAATGTTTAAAGTTTTAGACGAGCACAGACTACTGACCAAGGGTTCCAAGTGCGAGTTTTTTCAGGATAGGTTAGAATTTTTAGGACACGTTATTTCGGAGGCTGGGGTTGAAATCGACCCAAAGAAGCTGGACACGGTCAAAGCGTGGCACCCCCCGACAAATATCACGGAGCTGCAGAGTTTTTTAGGGTTCGTTAATTACGTGCGTCGGTTCGTCCCCGACATGGCGCAATTAACAGCCCC